TTATACCGACAGGTAAAAGAAATCTAGAATAGTCCAAAGATCGTTAGGCGCATAGAGAAGGTTTTCGAATGTTCTCGTATGTACGCGTCCATTCTAGTGGGTCTCGATTCTTCTCGAACGAATGAATCATTGCGGTGTCTATGCGATGTTAAGGTCATCCGAGGGCGGGCCATATTGTGAGGTTAGGTCGAGTCCACACCGGCTCGCAACATTATATTTGGAAGCTCTTGGTTCATGCAATAACGTGGTAATACGTGGTCATTTGACATGTGCTCCGTCCAATACATCTTCAGTATCCGACGAAATAACTACATTTAAAAGGATTCTATCTTCCTAATCCTAGTCTCTTTCAGGGTCTTGGGTTCAATTCCATATAATAGCACAGAATAAGCAGCACTTGGACCATACGATATCGGATTTTCAATGTTATGTCTTATTAGAGAGATTACAAAAGAATCATTGTTTAATTTTGAGGAATGTGCTATCGCCTATTCTGGCGTTAATCTCTACATCCTGATCCAAAACTTCAGTAATCCAACATCCAAGATACTTGAATTTAACTACTTGGTCTATGGCATTCTGGTTTAAATACTTAGTAGGGAACCTTCGCTATAAGCTGATATAGTCTGTAAAACGAATAACTTTGAATTTGACAGTTCCCGCGGGCTTTTCTAGTGTTAATTTTATTAGGTTATCAACTTGCGGCCATGCTGACGCAATGCCGTCTCTAATAGAATAGCCTCAGAGCGAGATTTATGACGTCACGCTAGTTAGATACTACGGATTAATAAGTATGTTGTAGAATACATGGAAAACATAATTATTCCTCGTATTTTTGGTTTGTATTTTAAAAATGATATAGTTTACATGAAATATACACAATATACAGTTAATAAATACAATATATATATATATACCTATTTATAGTAATAAATACTTTGGCAGATAAACTATAAACCATACAAATACAGCAAATGTTTTACAATATGGCTGAAATCGTACTCCATAGTCAATGTAGATAGTTTTTGTGTTAAGAATAATAATTTAAAAAAATATGTGGTCATCTTTTGACAAGTTTATATTAGTTTATTAATTGCAGTAAACATTATAATATATAAATAAATTTTGTGATTGCAAATAATAATACACTATTAGTAGATATTGAATGTTTTTGTTAAATTAGATCGATTTTCAAACCCCAAAATTTAAAATATATTTTACATTTTACCCAATATTTGTATATTGTAAAACATTTGCTGCATTTGTATGGTTCATAGTTTATTTGCCAAAGTATCTATTACTATAAATAGGTATATATTATATTGTATTTATTAACTGTATATTATGTATATTTCATGTAAACTATATCATTTTTAAAAATACAAACCAAAATACGAGGAATGATTACGTTTTCAATGTATTCTACAACATATTTATTAACCGTAGTATCTAACTAGCGTGACGTCATAGATCTCGCTCTGTGGCTGTTCTATTAGAGACGGCATTGGTCTAATATTTAGAAATGTCAAAAGCTGATGACATTTTACTTTTTGTCAATTATGACATTTTCGTTTGATTTTTGCAAGAAGAGGAAGAACTGTCACTTGTTTTATTATTTTCCTTTTCTATTTCACGAAAGTAAAAAGAGTTACCTATCTGATTCGTTCAGGCCCTCAATTTAAAGAATATCAGTCATTTTTTTGATAGAGGGATTTTATATTTGCCATGTTGGTAAAAAATAACGGTCAAAATTCAAAGTTATTCATTTTATAGACTATATAACAGGATCATCAGCGTATCCTTATGCTGTTTTAAGATCTCCCCGTTTACTTTAACACCCAGTCCGCAGTCACGTACACACAGTCTATGAGTAAATCTCTTCAGAGTACATATTTAAAAAAAAGTTTCAATCTTCATTGATGAGACAGTGTCCTGTTAAAAACCCAGTGACAATTCGAAGATTGTTCTTACTCAAATCAATAAAAATCTTTGATTTTTCTCGGTCGTCTGGTTGGAGGATTTTCATTCCAGGTTACAGATGGAGTCTTCCAAGTTCTTGAGTTTCCACTTGGGAAGCAGAATGGTTCTGGTCCAGTTAGTAGAGCGATCGCTCCTTTTCTAGCTAGATCGTTTACTTTTTCATTACTTTATTTTCTTTGTCTAATTTTTTTCAGCTTCTGTAGACATTCTTTGACCAACGTCGAAATGTTGATTAATGAGTTGATCGCTCTTAAGACTGCTTGACTTTCAGATTCGATGGCTATTTCTTGTTTCCGTTAGTTTCCATCTAAGATAAGTTCCGCATTCCATCTTAACAGGAGCTATCTGATTCCAATACAGGTTTTCAATTTTTTTTTATGTATTCAAGTCTAGACTCTTTCTCTTCAAGATCTCAATTAATTTAGAATGTCGAACGCTTTCTTATAATCAATGAAGTATAAGTATATACAGGGTTTCTCCCCGTAGCCGTTCGTTAGAAGTTTTTGAGGTTAGGAAAAACTTAGAAGTTTGAAATTTTGAGACTTGGGGTTATTTAAAATTTCCTTTCATACAAAAATATTTTCAAGGTCATACCATTTCCGGTTACACCGGAAGTAGCCATTAACTTCCTTATTTTAAAGCGAACACCCTGTATATTATTTTATTTTTGGATTTCTAGGCAAATTTTATGATGAGTTTCATTACATTTCCCTATACCTATTTTCAACTGTTTCTCAGATATCTTGATTTATTTGAAAATTTTTACAGATTTACCCCTATTTTTAACAGTGGGTCTTTTACTCATTTTGAATTGGTGATAAACGCTTCTGCGGTAAACCGAAGCAGAGGACTAATACTTTCGAAGTCCATATTGACAACTGATTTATTGTATACAGGGTGTCCAAAATTTGATAACTGATTAGATTATTTTCAAACTCAGAAAAGTTCATTTTTACAAATGAGACACCCTGTATATTTTTCGATAGTTGGATGCAGAATTCAATTCTGCATCGATTTGCTATAACTTTCCCTATACCCATTTTCAAGGGTTTTCTTGTTAATCCTTATTTTTTATTTTAATTCAATTTTTGGCAGAATCGACAATATCGTTTGTGTTTTTTAAAATAAAATAACTATGTTAAAGTAACGAAACTGAATGTAATTCGAATATACGAACAAAACAGGAACAAAACAAAACTGAAATCATATAAAATATAACATAACATAACAAAACAAACGTATAACAGTAACGGTGAGGCATTAATTATTAACACTAGACGTTAGTTAGGTTAGGTTAGGTTGTATCCCTACCATAAACTTTCCCTATACCTGTTTTCAACGGTTTGGTTTGGGTTTTGAAGGACCCTGGAACTGGCCGCCACGGTCACCCTATTTAACGCCCCTCGATTTTTACCTCTGGGGGCGTATAAAAGAGCTGGTATACTCTACGCCTGTACGTACTATATTACATACGTACGAGTTATTAAACCGTATTAACTATGCGTTTACTAATCTATGCCCAGACGAAATCCGGAGATTTGTTTCGCAAGGAGTGCATCGCAAGAGTTATTCAATGTTTGAACGAAAATGGCGGTCACTTCGAACAATTTTTGTAATTATTGAGTTAACTTTTTTATTATTGTAGGGATACACTAACGTCGAGTGTTAATAATAATTAATGCCCCACCGTTACTGTTATACGTTTATTTTGCTATATTTTATACGTTTTCACTTTTGTTTTGTTCCTGTTTTGTTCGTATGTTCTAATTACATTCAATTTCATTACTTTAACTAAATTATTTTATTTAAAAAAAACACAAACGATATTGTCGATTCTGCCAAAAATTGAATTAAAGTAAAAAATACGGATTAACAAGAAAACCGTTGAAAATGGGTATAGGGAAAGTTATAGCAAATCGATGCAGAATTTAATTCTGCATCCAACTATCGAAAAATATACAGGGTGTCTCATTTGAAAAAATGAACTTTTCTGAGTTAATAATCTAATCAGTTATCAAATTTTGGACACCCTGTATGCAATAAATCAGTTGTCAATATGGACTTCGAAAGTATTAGTCCTCTGCTTCGGTTTACCGCAGAAGCGTTTATCACTGATTCAAAATGAGTAAAAGACCCACTGTTAAAAATAGGGGTAAATCTGTAAAAAATTTCAAATAAATCAAGATATCTGAGAAACAGTTGAAAATAGGTATAGGGAAACCCAATGAAACTCATCATAAACTTTTCTTAGAAATCCAAAAATAAAATAATATACAGGGTGTTTCATTTAAAATAAGGAAGTTAATGGCTACTTCCGGTTACACCGGAAACGGTATGACCTTGAAAATATTTTTATATGAAAGGAAATTTTAAATAACCCTAAGTCTCAAAATTTCAAACTTCTAAGTTTTTCCTAACTTTAAAAACTTCTAACGAACGGCTACCCTGTATATTTTGTCTTTCACTCGGTCTCAACATTCCTGTAATAGAATTATAAGGCTGCATAAAGCATCTCTGGTACCTATAATACCTTTCCTAAAACCAAAATGTTCGCCACCCATATCTTGTTCACATTAGTTATACAGGGTGTCCCAGAAATAAGTATATATAAGTATTTTAACTGGTAGTATAATTCAACCCCAGAAACACGCCTATGAGTTTTTTTCGCAAAAAAAAAATTAAAAATTCGAAATTTTTTGCAAAATATTTTGGATTTTTTTTTAGTTTTTAGTTAAAAAAGATAATTTCTTGATAATATGGCAACATAGGTATTAGATTAAATTTACAAGAAAGAAAATCCAAAAAAGATCCATCAGTGGTTCTCAAAATTTTAACAAAAAATTATTTTTTTTGGAAATTTTCAAAGCAAAATAACTCCGTTATTTGAACTTGAAAAACGATAAAGGGAAAATATGTTTCTTTTATCGAGAACTACCACCCCCTAAAATACTTGCACTTATTTCTGTGACACCCTGTATATTCTTAGCTGAATTATTTTTAAAAATAATATTTTGCCTTAGGATCACAAAATACACGACCTACCAAAATTGACGAGTGTAACTGATAGAAAACTACCGGAAAGGAAGCCATCGTTACTGAGGAGGGAAAGCTCGGATGAAGTGGAAATTGACAGAGTATGTATCACATTTTTCACTTAAAATCTGTATAATCGTAACTAACAATCACACACCACTGATAACATTAAATTTTTAATAAACGAATTTTTGAAATTCTATTCAGAGTATATATCTAACAATATTTTTAACGTTTTTTATTTATTTTCCCATTCCTTGTAACTAACCGTATACAGTTTACAAAACACTTTCACACTTACTACACCTACTACATGCTATACCTAAAAATCAACCAATCAGGCTATCAGATTTTTGATCGATCTATGCCTTATATATGTGACGTTTCTACTATAATCTGTTGTTCCTTCCTCCAGATCTCTGTGTGGATAACGCTAAAATGACCGATACAAATTGATAGATACTTTTTCTTTGTTGTTTTTCAGGAGGACAGGAATTTGATGAAGGTATGTAGGTTTTTCAGTTACTTTCTCAAGAGATAGCCCAGTGAGCATTTTATTCCTTTAAGGGAAATGTGTTCTAGGTGACGTCGTTGTTATGTTACCAGGACCATCTTTTGCCTAATATGAAGCAATAAAACGCAGATACGTAACTGTTCCCTAATGTTCCCTAAATGTGACAAAACTTTGCTCACTGGGAGAAAACATTTTTAAGAGATACAAAACATTTTTCCGAAAACTGGGTCATCCTGTATATAATAATAAAGGCAATCTATTAAAAATATTTTTTTACACTGATGACAACATACCGTGCTGGCAACTGTTACTCTTGGGTCGGTATTTACATGTGTGGAAGTAAATCGCATAGGGATCTTATTAAGTCGGAGTGAGAGAAATGCGACGGAGTGCTGTTGCGGCGTTGCCGGTACGCCTTTCCCTATCAAGTAAAGTAAAATCACGATCGCAAACCGCTTATTTTTAAAAGACTTTTTTTCGAAAAGATAACTAGATAAAATCATTAGAAATGTTTCTGAGCATCTGAAATGGAATTATAAGGATATCTTTAGGGTGTCATTTTTTTTATAACGAGAAAACGTCAGTAATCGCGATAATTTAAAAACTCAACTTTTTAACACATAACACGCCATAACTCAAGAAACACTTTAGATATTGAAACTTTTTTTATTTTGAAGATAAGATCTTTTACAATATGTTTCTTCTTCTATCTTCTTCTATCTTTCTCAGCCTGGTTCCATCCAGTGTTGGATATAGGCCTCTTCTAGGTTTTTCCATGCTTCGCGATCTCTAGCCAATCTTATCCATTGTCTTCCCGCCACTGCCCTGACGTCATCGACCCATCTCTTTTTTGGTCGGCCCATACTCCTGGTTGTTTCCCTAGGTCTCCATAGGATTACTTTTTGGGGCCATCGGTCTGAATCCTGTCTTGCCACATGTCCTATCCATTGCCACTTCAGACTTGCCACTCTTTTAACGACATCTATTAATTTTGTTTTTTGACGTATGTGGGTATTCCGTATTTTTTTCTCTAATATTGACTCCCAACATGATTCTTTCCATGGCTCTTTGTGCTACTCGTATTTGTTCTGCTGTTTTTCGAGTAATTGACATAGTCTCTAAGCCATACGTAAGCACAGGTAGAATGCAGCTGTCGTAAGCTTTTTTCTTTAGGTTCATGGGCACCTTTTTATCCTTGAAAATATTGCTCATATTTCCAAATGCTACCCATGCCAAATGGATCCTGCGTTTGATCTCCGTATTTTGGTTTTCCTTGCCCAGCTTGATTTTATGACCTAAATATATATATAATGGTCTACGTTTTCAATAATAACGTTGTCAACGGTAATGTTATGGATATTGTTGCTCATTATCTTGGTCTTTTTCAAATTCATTTTAAAGCCAATTTTCTGGGATTGTCATTTAGCTCATTTAGCATGGTGTTTAGTTCTTGAATGTCGGTGCTCAGCAAGACAATATCGTCTGCGAACCTCAGATGGCTAAGGTGTACCCCATCGATGTTTAGACCTCTATTTTCCCATTCTAATTTCTTGAAGACATTTTCCAGTGCCAGTGTAAATAACTTGGGAGAGATGGTATCTCCTTGTCTCACGCCCTTGCCGAGTAGTATTTTTTCTGTTTTGAGGTCATCATCTAATTTAACTTGGAAGGTTGCACTATCATAGATATTTTTAATAATGGAATAATATCTGGAATCAATTCTCGCGTCCTCCATTGCAGCTAGAAATGACCAGGTTTCGATGCTGTCAAAGGCTTTTTGGTAGTCTACAAAGGCCAAATGTAGAGGTATATTGTATTCTGTTGTTTTTTCAATGACTGTTTTAATTGTTTGTAGATGATCGATGGTACTAAAACCTTTTCGAAAGCCTCCCTGTTCTATGGGCTGATAGGAATCTAGTTTCGTAGACAGTCGGTTGTTGATAATCCTAGTGAAGAGCTTGTATAGATGCGAGAGAAGGCGTATTGGTCTATAATTCTCTATATTTGTAAAATCTCCTTATTTTGTATAATAGCACAACTTCTGCGTTTTTCCATGCATCCGGGATTCTACCCTCCATCAGACATTTATTTAACAATACTTCCACGGCATCCACTAATGGTTTTCCGCTCATCTTCAGCATTTCAGGTGTAATACGATCTTCTCCTGGGCTTTTGCCATTTTTTATTTGTTGAAGTGCGTATTTAATTTCTGTGGTTGATATTTCTAGCATCTCTTCTGATCCTACGTTTGTGATGTGTTTTTGTACTCTATCTTTGTTTGGTATAACAGACTGTTAAAGTTGTTCGTAGAATTTGTGTATTTCATTTCTAATTTCATGTTTGTCTGTTGTTATAATGCCATATGTGTTTCTTATCTTTATTATTTTTTGTTTTCCGCGCATTTGCTTACGTCTTAACACTTTCATGCTTCTATTGTTTTCAATTGTTTCCAAAATTTGGTTTCTCTTATACTCCCTTAGATCTTTTCTTATTTCTCTTTTAGTTGTTTTATTTAAGGTGTCATATTCTGGGGCATCTCTGTCAGTCTTTCTTCTTTCCCTTATTAGTTTTGTCGTTTCTGGTTTTAATTTAGTTTCCGAAGGGTGTTTCATTTTACTACATATTTTCTTTGTTGCTGTAGTTATGCCCTGACTTAGATTATTGAGAATGTCGTTGGGGTCTTGATATCTGAGTGTCTGTGGCTTTAGTCTCTTTTCAAGCTCTTTTTGATAGGTTTCCTGATTTAGTTGTAGAGCGTCCCTTGTAGGAAACATTGATCTGGTAATTAATTTTCTTCTTTCTATATTATGTTTACATAAGAAAAATTCGATAAGGTTGTTTTTTTTTCATTCAAAAATTGTAAATAACCCATCTATTTACTTTTAGAGCATAGCAATTTTCAGCAGTCGTATAATTTTTTTACTGATAAAGATTTTCACTTACTGTCTACGAAGAAAATACAGCAGAAATATTAAGAAGGTTTTTGAAAAAACTACAATCAATTATTTCTAATAGATTTCGAGATATCGATTTTTGAATTCAGAGTTCTAATAACCCGACCACTGTCGAAAACCAACTCAATTCCACTTATTTTTACCAAAAATGCAAGTGTTTCTAGCTTGCACTTAAACATTTTCAAGCTATAGGGAAAATTACAACGAATAAATAAACAAATAATGTATCACGAGACATAATTAAATCGTGAAGCTGAACGCATGATGTACACCTTTCCCTAGAACTTTAAGCAGGGTTGGAAAAGATCATGATTTTTTTAAAAAAATCAAAAAAATCAGATTTTTTTTATTTAAATCGGATTTTTTTTTATTTAAATCAGGTTTTTTTGATTTTAAATCAAAACAATATTTAAATCGGATTTCCAAATGACTAGAACTTATTTCCAATTAAAGTCCTATCCTAAATGGCTAAATCTTTATAACTCTGCCCGATACCGATAACATTAACAATTCTACGGCGCGTGTAATTTTTCCACATCGGTTACTAATTTATTCTACAAAAAAAGTCGCTAGCTTCAGATCAAAAGGATTTTTTTTCAAACATCTCAAAAATATTAACTTTTGTCATTTTAACGCCTAGGCATAAAAGAAAAGCACTGTTACGCCTAAGCACAAAAGTACAAAAATATACTATTAAACTGATATTAAATGTCAAATTCAAGAAGTGTACAAAATTGTTGATCGATTACTGTTCATATTATTTGCAATGTTTGAAATTGATTAGAAAATTATTTGTAATGTTTTAAATAAATAGTATGTTCTATTCGGAGTAAAAATGTAATTTTTGTGCCTCCCTGTAACGTTGGAAGGGTCCTTCACAGGTACAGCATCGTCAAAAAATATAATTTTACCTAATAAAACAATACACTATTGTTCGGAAATAGTCAAGTCGAAAATGAAATTAGTATGTATTATCTAATGCCAAAGTATAAAGTACTTACTGAAATTTGAATATACCGCGTGGAAATTGAAAATCGGACAATTTGGTGAAGGAATCTTATAAATAGTTAGTTTGTTGTGTGTTATAAGTTAGTAATTGTGTATAAAGTGAGAAAATAAATTCGTTAAGTATTTTATCGTGAGTTTAAATAGTGGACCCACGGAATCCGTAACAATATGTATTCGAACAGCGAATTCTTGTCACTTATACATAAATTTTAAAATAAATCCCTGTGTTTAGCAGTCTAATGGATTCACACGAAATTACTTCAAAAATCGATCCAACATTTAAATTGATGAATAGATATTTTTATATATTTTTATAACATTTACAATTATTTTTCGATTTATTATCTGTTATATCTGTTATAGAAATATTTTTTCTAGTTTTCTAGGACACATTTTTATAACTTTTACAGTTATTTTTTGATTTAATATGTTTAAGTTTCAATAAAATTATTTTTTTTTATTTAAATCACATGATTAAAATTAAAAAAATCACTTGATTTAAATCACGATTTAAATCATGATTTAAATCATTTGATTTAAATCATGCCAACCCTGACTTTAAGTACTGACATTGGGTCGACCGGTCAACTGCGACAAATCTCCTATATCTCCTTCCACGTCTCTTAGCAATGTTCACAGTTTCTCGATTCATTTCCTACGTTTGGCAACGTGTTTACTGTTCTCTCTTTGTTCAGTACATTATAAACGCATTGTACTCTTGTTACATACGGAAATCTCGACCCAAGACTAACCTTTGCCAGCCCTTAGTAAAACAAATACAAGAACATTTTTCAGATCACACCATTTCAAGAATCTTTAATTCTCACAAAATAAAATATCACTTTGCATTGCATGGAACTGCAAAAATCAAATGATATGTACAGTTAAAAAACAAAAATGCTCTTAAAGAATTCCGGTACTGCCAATAAGTGATTGTTGTATGTACTTTGCTCTATTTATAAACTTTTGATACGACTTGAGCCAGATGGTGGTAAATTTAGTTGCTTCAAGTCGGTCGATCGAATGTATCGAAAATTATATATTGTTACGACACAGTTTACAAAAGTTATTTTGCGATGATTTAATATATCAGCGTAAGTTAAGTTTTAAAATATTTATATATGTTGCATTAAAAATCGGATATCCAGTAAATGTTAACAATCACTACTAAATGCTAACAATTACGTATTGAGCCAGTGAATGTCGTATTTTAAAGAAATTTGTCGACTTTTATTGGCAACTGTTAGCAGTCGCTAGTAACTCTCACTAAGTTACTGTCACTAGTAACATTTACTAAAAGTTTTCAGTAAATTATTCTATTGTACCATAGGAAGCGCGTTGGTGGAAGTTGGAACAAATAAAACTTTTAAGAATATTAAATCGCCTCCATATTTAAGCTGATCCACTCATTTAAAAAATTACAAAAAATTGATAACAAAACAAAAACCCAAAAATTAAAATATTTGCCTAATCCTACAGGGTGGCTCAAAAAAGTGTGAGTGGATCGGGATGATTTTTTTTAAATGGAACAACCCTGTATATTATTGCCTTTTTGGCTTCCTTTCAGATTACTTTACATAATTTTAAGATATGAGTGAATATATTTCGATAGTTTAAGAGATATTAATAAAAAAAATAAAAAATATATTTTTTCAGCCTTTCTTAAGGTGCGATTTCCTAGCCGACGTCTGGCGTCGGCGGCAAGACGTGGACGCCAGACGTCGCTAGGGCCACAGATTATACAGATTATAATCTTTGTTTTTTCTTTATTGTTTTTCGTGGTTCCAATTTTCGGAATCGGGCACTAGATAGGTGACTAGTTTGCGCACATAGCACGCCCACTTATGGCCTCTACAATTGTGTACAGCGCCTGACCGGCACAGTTATTAGAGAGATATCGGAAAACCGAATAGCGTCATCCAGTATTTACGCGTACCTTATTATGGTTACGATATGCGCGAGTCAACGCAACACCCGCTAATAACGTTACCGCCTGACGTAATTTGCGGATCAATTACACCAAGCGCTCTTTCTAAATAACCTCTGATAACGTTTAAAAATTGCTTAAATGGGCATGTGCGGGTATTTGACAACCGGAGCCGGCCGGCGAGATCTTTTATTTTAAGTTATGTTTGAATTGTTTTGAATTATTGCTTTAGTTTTATTAGGTAATTTGATATTTAAGTAGCTGGGATTAGTTTTAATTAAATAAATATGGCCCAAAATATGGATTCCACCTCTTCCAATACTAAAGAACCTATAAAGAGTCTTAGGTCTACAACAGATGACGATTTAGCCCTTCTAAGAGAATTTGTTGCTTGTTGCCCTAAACCCATTGGCAGACGTTGAACAATAAAGCACTGGAAATAAGCACTTTAGCCCTTTAGTTTTAAAATACGTAGTAAACAAAACAATTTCAAAGTTTTAAATTCAAAGTTAGGTTAAGTTTAAATAGCGGACGCGACGCGATCAGAATTCTTTCCGATCCGATAACTATAAATGAAGAGAGTTAATACCACCTCACGTAAAGGAAATAACATCTGGCCTTATCAACGTCCATGCACGCTATTCGGTTTAGCGATATCTCTCTATTACGCTGTTTATTGTTAATTTACGCGAGTTTATTTTTGCGCACAGGAAATTTGACTCGTTTGCACATCATCATAAAAAACAATTTTCGTACCACGAATTAGGGACAAGATTTTTATCTGTATACTTATAGGATAGCTAATCTGTGCTAGAAGATCGCTAAAGTGATTTGAAAGGAAGCCAAAAAGGCAATAATATACAGGGTTGTTACATTTAAAAAAAATCATCCCGATCCACTAACACTTTTTTGAGCTACCCTGTAGGATTAGGCAAATATTTCAGTTTTTGGGTTTTGCTAGGAAATCAGACCTTTATAAAAATTATTAAAAATACAAGAACCTGTCCTGAAATCATAACGATATTATGTATTTACTTTTGATGGTCTATATTTACTTTGCTATAAATATCGTAATCTCAAATTATACAGGGTGGTCAAAATTCTATGCCAAACTTTCTAAAATATAAAATAATTTTTCTTCGTTTTTTTTTAAATAGAACACCCTGTATATTATTTTTTTTTATTATATGGAGAATTAAAAAATTTGTTTTTGTATTTAGAGTATTTCAAAATTTTTAACGGTTTCGTAGGCACTAGGGGTATTATTTCATATGACTCTTTCAACGTTAAAATACGAGAAAAAAATCATTGTCTGGTTTTGATAAACATTTACTGTGGAGAATGCCATATGAAATATAATATAGCGAATATCTGCGAAACAGTTACAAATTTTGAAACAGTCAAAATACAAAAAATGTTAATTTTTAATTCTCCATCTAATAAAAAAATAATATACAGGGTGTTCCATTTAAAAAAAATCATCCCAATCCACTCGCACTTTTTTGAGCCACCCTGTAGAACCTGATATAATATCCTGAAATACATTCTAGCACATACTTCAGGTCTGCATTTAAACAGAATTCCCAGGATTTTTATTCTCGGAGTTACAGATGCCCGTTGCACTATTGCCGGACCCTGTAAAAAATACTTGAAAAATAAACAAAAATACAGAGAACAAATCACAAGTCATTGCAGATCAGTCGGTCAATCAATCAAAACTCTCACTTCACTTCTCTATTAAACCGGTCCCGCACGATGTGCCAAACACCTTCTAACGTTGGACACATAAACATTTGCCACATCGTGTAGGAGACACACTTATGAATTGCAATATTGTCGAAGCCTATGCCAAATGATGCGTCCAACGTGTAGGAAGCATCGTGTTGGACCGGCTTTAGGCGTAACGAAGTTAGCCGGGTCAGCTAGTAGTAGATATTTTTAAACTCAAAATGTTTCAATTATTTGACACTTTACAAGAGTACACTTCCAATCACTCCACTCGATAATTATTCTAAGATATTAATTGATAAAAAATTAACGTAATGTTTTTCAAGGAACTTCCAGCGAAAAGGAACTCGTTGGTACGCGCCGAGTCTATGAGAAAGGCCTCGTTGACGCCAGCGCCACCACCGATGCCCCCTCCACCCCCAGGTATGCCCCCTCCACCACCAGGCATGCCAGGGGAAATGCCGAAAAAAGCGATGACCAGTAAGCAGAAGCAGAGACTAGATTTGCTCAAGTAAGTAGAAGGAAACAAATTAGTGAAGGAAATTGTAGTACATTTTTGAACTACACTTGCGTGCACAGAAATTGGCCCAAGGCAAACTTTTGAAGTTAACTATATATTTTTTACAATCTATTTGTCAGATTAAGAAAAAATACATGCTGTTTGAAAGGCAATTTCATATTCTTTGAAAAGAGTTTAGAGATATTAATTTGTATTTTGTGGTTTCTTTGGACTAAAATTATTAAATTAATGCATGAAACAAATTATCGTTTTTTATTACTAAGAAGTGTATGTTATTATTTATTTATTTATTTATGGACAATTAACTAAACTAAATTTTCAATAATGGGTATGACCCCCTCTTGCTCTAACAACATCTCTCATACGATTTGGCATAGATTCGATCAAATTTGATATTGTTTCTTGCGGGATGTTAAGCCACTCTTCCTCTACTGCAACAATGACCTCTGGGATAGAAGTTGGGGCTCTTCGTCTAGTACGAATTCTACGTTTTAGCTCATCCCATAAATGTTCTATTGGGTTTAAGTCTGGACTACATGCTGGCCATTCCATAACCCGAAATCCGACTTCTGAAATGTAATCGTGTACGATTCTTGATTTGTATGCCCTCGCATTATCATGCACATATGTGAATACGTTTCCAATGTAGTCGACGTAAGGTACCACATGAACTGCTAAAAACTCCTCAATATACCTAGCACCAGTTAAACCTCCTCTCCCGTGCCGACGGTCGCCCCAACTGATGAAAACTGGGTCGGTTCGCGCAGTTATAGAAATTGCATCCCAAATCATGCAGGAGCCACCTCCATAAGCAATCCGCTCCTCAATGCAACATTCTGCGAATCGCTCACCTGGCCTCAGGTACACTTTTCTTCTTTGGTCGCTACCATAGAGGCATATCCTGGTCTCATCTGAGAATAAAATAGATTTCCATTGTTCTAGTGTCCAATTCAGATGTTCTACTTCAAAACGCAAGCGTGCTTGACGATGAGCTGGGGTAAGTTTTGGACCAATTGCGGGTGTTTTGGGTGTCATGTTATTTTCCTTCAATCTTCGTCTTACTGTCCACTGACTAATAGTCACTCCTCGTGTTTCACGGAGCTGTTGCTGCACCTGAATAGCATCAAGACGCCGATTTCTTAACATTGTTGACACAATAAAGGGGTCATCACGATCCGTTGTATATCTCTTTCTACCAGTTCCAGGTCGACTACGAAAGGATCGAGTCTCCACATTTCGGTCACACACTCTTCGAACCGCTCCGCGTGTCATATGTAGTTGCCGAGCTACAGCTCTCTGTTTAAGTCCATTTTCGATTAAAGCGATTACTTGGGCGGCTTTTTCCGGTGATGTATGCATTAAATTGAAACACTAATCAAACAATGAAACAACTAATCAAAGAATAAAAGAACAATGTGAAAATTTCGATTACAAAGGTAGTAATTGCAATATTTGACAAGTTTGTTATTCTTATTGTCACCACAACACAAATACCTTTTATTTGTTTACCCGTTGGTACGCATATAAACGATAAGTACCCTGGATAAATTTATGCTCATATTAAAGCATGTCAAATTGTCTTTGAAACAGCTCATATTTTTTACTTGTCTGATAAATAGATTCTAAAAGACACAGTTAAAACCAAAAGTTCACAGTGGGCCGATTTCTATGCACGTAAGTTTAGTACAAATGGATCCCGTTCACTCAAAAGAACTAGTACAATGTACTATTACTCTAGTACATTTAGTAGAACAAAGCAAACACCACTGAATCACTGCGTCACCCTTTGATTTAACCAACTTGAACTTGACACCATTGACAATAAACAATAGGATTTGTTTTTTAAATTTTATTATATTATTAGTAACAGTCATATCACAGAACCTTCTCTAATGAACATTTAATTGTTAAATTTTTAACAAAATTAATTTTTCGCCTACAATCTGAAAATAAATTAATACATAGGGTGTTCCGTTATAAAAAGCACAACTTTGAAGCTTCATTCAGAAACTCGCAATTAGTGGAATAAATTAGTGGTTTCAATTAGCGTCGAAGTTTGTTCCTCCAATTTCAATGTAAGCATTAAGAACGTCAAAATTAGTGGTAGTCATTTTCAAATAGTAGAAAAAGTTAACAAACTTTTGATTTGAATGTCATTTTGGCCTTTGATTATCATCCGTCAAGAGAAATTGTGGTTAGAAACCAAAAGTTGATTGTTTTATAAGCTAAATATTAGGCTTTCTCTATGGATACAACTGACTACCGCAAGCTGTTGCTAGGATATTCTATTAATTTTAATTGTGTTTTTTAGACATTGTGAATGATCGTAGACTAAATAGTATAAAGTGTAATTGAACTACTAATTACGAGTTCTGAATGAAGCTTCATATGTAACTTTTTTTGACGACACCCTGTAAAATCCTGAATATTTTAAAAAATGCTCTAAATTAACCTACATAAGCTCAGAAAATTTCATTTCATTTTCGTTCGCCTTGGAGCCTCCACGTCTTGTAAGAGGCGCCACCCTGTACATGTTAGGAACTGAAAGCATGTAATAACTTAGCCAATATTTTGACAGAGCTAGGCCCAAAGTTCGACCGGATTGGTCAGCCACCTTGAAAGAAATAGAAGGTGGCAAAAAACTAAAACATGTCGAATGTAATGACAGGTCTCAACCTCTACTGCCCGAAGCCAAAGCTCAAGAACATTTCTTGTACGACAGCGAGAAACCAAACGTACACAACGAACTACTAAAACAGGTAATATGTTCTTTATGTTGATTTTTTCTTATTACGAAGGTTGCCATTTTTATTTTGCATATAGAGGTTAGAAAAAAGACTAGATAACTTTTAAACACTACTGTTTTTCGAAGTATTCTCATCCACGACGTGAAATGCATTTTTGCATCACTTGGAACCAATTCTGAAACCAGTTATTCCACTCGCTTTTGGTGCCTTCAAAATTGCGTTTTTGAAGACGCTGACTGCATCTTCTGGAGACTAGAACCTTTGACCACGCAGTTCATTCTTAATTTTTGGAAAAGTAAAAAAGTCGTTAGGACTTAGGTCGGGATTATATGGAGGATGGTCCAACAATTCGATGTTTCCTTGCTTTAAAAACTCAATTGTTTGTCGAGCTGTGTGGGAACTTGCATTGTCTTGGTAGAGAATCACTCGTCGTTGAGGGTTGGTTTTTCGAAACTCGGCAATTACTTTCGGCAGACAAATAGACATGTACCAATCAGCAGTAATAATTATTTGATCTTGCGGAGGAATTGTTGTTACATGACCCGCTTTTGAGATAAATGTCGCTACCATCTTTTTGAAACAGTTCGAGAATGGAGTTTTGGTTCATCTTGGAACACCCAAACAGCCGATTTGTGTTTATTTTCGCATTCTTGTTGAGATAACTCTAAAAAAATATTGCGCGAAAATTTTCTCTCGGTTTAATTCCATTTTTCAACTGACTGGCCAACTTGATACATGTTGACAGGCGCCTACTATGTTTCTATATGCAAAATATACAAGACAACCTTTGTACTCAAATTATGTCATTACAGTTAACAACTACGTGCGAAATATCATTTCGGTTCCATACATTAATCGTTGATCTATCACGACTTTTTAATCTCCATTTATAGTAATTATAAATGATTAAATATCGTTGTAGATCGAAACTGGTTTTAAGTTGAAAAAGGTTGTAACCAATGACAGAAGTAAACCAATGTTAGAAGGGCTGAGGAAGTTTAGAAGACAAATGACCATAGAAGAGCAAATCCAAAAATCCATGTCCATGGCTAGTATACCCCCGGTAAGCGTAAGTACCCCAATAATCAGGCTGATACCGTACTATTGCGTCTAACGTGTATTTGTTAAAAGATTAACATAAGACCTTCATTATGAACCCTAGATCAAATACAGAGTGTTTCAAAATGTATGTGCCATCTCTCGTGGAAAGATTTCTTACCCAAAAATAAAATTTATTTTTTATATCAATATAGAACCGATTCTGCTTTGTTTCGTAACTACAGAGATTCGATGTACTTTTATCTAACTATCCTTAGTCGGGAACTATCGTGAACGCGCCAAATTTGAACATGAATTATTTTAAAAACTGTAATATATCTATAAACACACAAAAATAAATTTTTCTAGTAACTGAATACACTTGTGTCTTTTGCAACCGAAAAGCTTGAAAATAAAAATCAAAAAAAGCCAAAAAACAAGCGTAGTACCCAATAAAAATAAGATTGAGTTTTATGACAGTTCCCAGAGTTGTCCATGACGCTATTTAATTTGTACTTTCTCAACCCTACAAAATGGCTTTAATTATAATTACTTGATAATTACTTATTGTTAATGTTTAAAAATTCTGAATCAAATAAAAAAATAGAAAATTGATGAAATATTTCCAAATAAATTGTCCAATATTTTGTATAAGATTAATATCATAATTTACACCGCACAACACTTAATGCGCATGCACTAAGTAAGGTCCTGAGTAAGGACACATAGGATATGTACTAAAAAATCTGTGCAAATTTTCGTTAGACAAAATGTACAGCTAAATTTACCAAAATTAAATTTTACAAGAATATGTTTATTGCAGTTAGAGTGTTTATTGCAGATTAGTGGTTCGATTTTCAACCTTTCAAACTTTAGAATGTAATTTAAAAAAATAGTTAAATAAAAAAGTAAGTTAAATAATTAAAAAGTTAGTTTATATGTATAATTTAAAATAGAAATTAAGAAAAATATTAGGTCCCACGTTGGGCGCCAAATATAATAGGTACTTAAACTATGTAATCCTCCACGGGGTTGGCCGTTATAAATAAAATTCGATATTAACCAATTACAGACATCGAGTCCACGTTGACTTCTAGAGATAGCCACAATATTTATTAACAAAAAAATATTTTTACACATAACTGCAAAAACATATCTTGGAAATAATGAATAGAAATAAATCACAAAATGTTTGAACAGGACGAGATAGCCCCCGAAGAGGTAGACGAAATGGACGACATTGACAAGGTCCGTGACGATCTTCAGAGCACCAAACAGATGCTGGCCTTAGAGCTGAGAAATAAGGAAGCGCAAGAAATGGAGAACAAGAGGTTATTAGCTAGAATTGCCAATTTGGAAGCGGAATTGGAAAAATCAAAGTCTGGAAGTGGAGGTGGCAAGTCTGGCGGAGCTGACGATAAGGTATTAACGTAAAGACGGGTATAGTATCTCCAAAGTCACTTGGACTGGTTTGGGACTTCTAAGTTGTTTGTCCAGACGAAGCCGACAAAAGCAGTACAGAAATTAGGAGCCCTAAACCAGTCTAACTGACTTTGGAAACGCTTTACTCACATGTCAGCCTCGAATTTTGACCTACTACTTGACTATTTGATTATTGAGTAAGCGTATTAAAAAATATAAGTTAGGTTACGTGCGCGTAATAAATTTTGACAATAAAGCGCATATTAAGATATCATAAATTATATCCAAAAAAAAACTGTTTGATGGAAGGTATCCAATATACAATAAAATACATATGAAATTAGTAGTAAAAAATTCTACAAATTTTTAAAATTTAATAAACCAACACAGGTAATCAAAACGTTGAAAAAAGAAGCAGAAGATTCGAGGAAGAACGCGGAACAAGTAGAGAAGAAATATACTGAAGCCGTTAAAAATCTGGATACGACGAAACTACAATTAGAAGAATTCAAGAGGAAAAACGTCGAGCTGGAGAAAAAACTTTTAGACGCCATAGGCGGTAAGAAACGTTTAAAATAACGTCACTACGTTAATGAAAATATTCGAAAGATATGATAACGATTTGCGGTTATTAAGGGGCGCTATTTTGACTAACTTTGACAATTAAAGTCTTGATAAACGTTTATGCACTAATAACTCTAAATTAGACAAACGTAAATGTCGAAATAACGTCTGCGATAATTATTGGACCGACTTTGTCATATCTTTCTATTCAAGTTACTGGCACTAATTTTACAGCTGCTGATGCAAACCAAACCAAACCTGTTTCTGCTTGGCCGAATCTAACGAGGAACGCAGCTATGCTAAACCCCTTCGCTAAAGCTACTGGTACTTTAAAGCCCCAAGTAATAAAACATTACTCGCACATTTTGTCAATAACAGTCCTCTGATTTATCCGACTAACGCCTGTGAGTAGTTCGTCTCAAATCTGTATATTTTTGTTTATTATACAACATATATTTAGGAATATGTTCTTGAATTGTCCATGAATTGTTCATGACTACGTCTTGCTCTTTTTGTAAGACTAAGTCTACAGTCTCAGTTATTTCACTTCCCTATTATATTTTTGGTGCCCAACGTGGGGCACCAAATATAATAGGGAACTGAAATAAAGAGATTGTCCATTCTTATATAGGACACCGTGTCTAAGAAATTGTCAATCAGCACACCTTGCATATGCTCATTACTATAAAGACACGAATAAAAAAAATAGTTCGGCATCAAACCAATCAGATTATTTATTTTGGCGCCCAACGTGGGGCTCCAAATATAATAGGGGAGTGAAATAAAAGAGATTATCCCTTCTTATATGGGACACCGTGTATAAGAAATTGACAGTCAGTATACCTTGCATATGCTCATTACTAGAACGACGCACGAATAAAAATATATACTTCAACACCAAATCAATTAAATTATTTAGATGTATTCCTAACTGACATATTCCTAAATTACTAAATTATAAAGTATTCCAAATGTATCTGGTCTATTATATTTTTTTAATAAGCTTGAATATACATAACTACATTTGGTTGTTTTTGAATAAAATTATTATTTTTTATATAGGAAAAAGAGTATCCATTAGTCATTCCCGTCAAAATAGTGTCGCCAATGGCAACGAAGACGAAGATATGGAAGACGAAAGTGAAGAAGAGAGCGACGGTGAAGATACTCCCGAAAAACGTGAAAAGAGGTTACAAAAAGAGGTAAAAAATCCATTAATCTACCTCAACATTTTTTATTTTAAATAGTGTAATTACTTCATATATACTTTTAGGTTAAGCAACTCACTAACAAACTGCGAAACTTCAAGAATAAGGAAGACAACGCAAAGAAAGAGAGGCTAGCCTTAAAAGATATCATCAAGAAACATCATGCCTCTATTAAAGAAGAAAAGAAGAAGTATAATAAAATTAAAAAAGAGGTAAATACCAATTCTACGAAAGGCGTAGATACAGCTGTTCTTCTCTTCATATCATTAGTTTCTGAATATCCTTAGCAGAAACGGAGGATTCATTAGCAGTGTTGCCATTAAGATAAATTGACAGCAAAGTGCAAATTTACAGAAAAAAATGCAAATTTACAGAAAAAGTTTTAATAATCAACAGATAAAGTGTAAAAACTATAATTTTTGCTAAAAATGTTTCCCAATGTTGGAAAGAATAAAAATGTTTAAATTTTAAATTTACAGAAAAGTGAAATTTACTGAAAAAGTGGAAATTTAAAGAGTCTTAATAATTAACAGATAAAGTGTAAATTTACAAAAAAGTGTAAATTTACAGAAAAATGTAGATTTACAAAAAAAAGTCTTAATAATTAACAAATAAAGTATAAATTTACAGAAAAACTACAAAACAAAAATGTTTAAATTTAAAATTTACTGAAAAATGAAATTTACAGAAAATTGTAAATCTACAGGAAAAATGTAAATTTACAGAAAAAGTGTGAATTTACAAAAAAATGTAGATTTACAGAAAAAGTCTTAATAATTAACAGATAAAGTGTAAATTTACAGAAAAACTATAAATTTTACTAAAAATATTTCCCAATGTTAGAAACAACAAAAATGTGAAAATTTACCGAAAAGTGAAATTTACAGAAAATTGTAAATTTACAGAAAAGTGTAAATTTACAGAAAAAATGTAAATTTACAGGAAAGTGTAAACTAACAAAAAAACTATAATTTTTGCTAAAATATTTCCCAATGGCAGCTCTACGCTTTCGCACAAATCAATGTTAATTAATTTAATATCTCAATATTTTCCTTTTTCAGGTTGATAAAATGGCTGCTTTACTGAAAGACGTGAGCGAAGACGAGGATGACGACGAAGAAAAAGAAGAGCCCGAGGAGGAGGAAGAAGAAACGGAAGAAGAGGAAGAGAGCAGCGAAGAATCCGATAGCGAGAGCGACGACAGTGACGACAGCGACTCCGAGAAGAGTCTCAGCGAGCCCGAAGACGCTCCGTGCGATAAGAAAAAAGTTAATTTGTCCAGTCGCGTAAAAAGGCACGAAGCCAGGTTGGGAGCGCTTAAAAAAGGCAATTTCTTACTGAAGACCAACGCAGAAAGGTAAATAAACATTCAGTCGATTCTATTTTTGCTTAACTGCGTATATGTATACAGAGTTTCTCACGCGACTAGTTTTCACAAGCTGTTCAGGATTTAGTTTATCATATTATTCATCGTCAGGGCTTTGACAAAAGCCAGTATATGAGACGATTTTACAGCGGTTAGTTCTCCATCTCCGATATCAGTCGTACCAAAGTTTATGAACCCAATGGTTGTCGTCTCGACGCACTCAGTGATGAGGTGTTCTGGTGTTTTCCCATTTTCCCCACAGAATCTGCATTCTCCATTGTTTCTTAGCTTCAATCTAATGAAGTGTTCATTGAGAAAACAGTCTCCTGTTAAAAACCCTATGACAATGCGAAGATTGTTCTTACTTAAATCAAGGAAAATCGATTTTTCTCGGTCGTAAGTTCTGAGAAATTTCTTCAAATGTCTTAGACCGTTGGAGGATTCCCATTCCAGGATGGAGTCTTCAAGGTTCTTCAGTTCCGCTTTATGTTAGTTCCCAATTGAGATGCAGAACGGTTCTGGTCCAGTTAGTGGAGTGTTTGCTCCTTTTCTAGCTAGATCGTTTGTTTTTTCATTGCCTTCTATCCCTTAGTTGGCTGGCACCCACAGTAGAAGGACTTTATTATCTTTGTCTAATTTGTTCAGCTTCTCTAGGTATTCTTTGACCAACTTGGAATTGATGGTTACTGAGTTGATCGCTTTTAATGCTGCTTGACTATCGGATAAAATTAAATTAACAAAGTAAGTATTCTTCACTGGGTACATACTAGGTGCAAAGCCTTGGTTGGGTATGTAATTTAAATATATCGAGTGTTTGCCCATCACTGAAAATAGCACGTCTACGAATCTAAAGTTGGATACTTTTTAGGAGACTGGGTAGCGCTAGGTACGAGGCTGGGCTGAAAAATAATCGGCCTAGGTAAGAAAACACAACTTTTTTCGGCAAAACTCAATTTATTTCTCAACGTAGTCCGCGTTAAGCTCTATACACTTTGTCCAACGATTCTCCAATTTTTCGAATGCCCTTCGAATAATACGATTTTTCGAAGTCCTTAAAATAGGCCTCTGTCGCAGCGATGACCTCCCCATCCGACTCGAATCTCTTACCACCGAGCCATTTTTTCAAATCTGGAAACAGATAATAGTCGCTGGGCGCCAAATCTGGGGAGTATGGAGGATGAGGAACCAATTCGTAACGCAATTCATACAGTTTTGCCATTCCGACTGCACATTCATGCGCCGGTGCGTTGTCCTGGTGGAAGAGCACTTTCTTCTTCGCTAAATGCGGTCGATTTTGCTTCAAATCGGCGTCGAATCGGTCCAACAGCTTTGAGTAATATTCGCCAGTGATCGTTTTGCCCTTTTCAAAGTAATCGATATGAATAATACTGTGCGCATCCCAAAAAACTGTAGCCATGACCTTATTGGCAGACAGACCCACCTTGGTTCTCTTTGGCTTTGACTCGCCTTGAGAAACATACTGCTTTGACTGTTCCTTCATCTCTGGCGTATTGTGATGGATCCAAGTTTCATCCACGGTTACAAAACGGCGCAAAAAGTCCTTTTTATTGTGGTTAAACATTGCTAAACACTCCTTTGAAGTTGTCACACTGTTTGGCTTGTTGTCGGCATTGAGCAAATCCGGCACCCATCTGGCAGCGAGTTTCCTCATTCCCAAATATTCGTGCAATATATTCTCCACTCGTTCACGTGACATGCCCACAGCCTCAGCAATCTCGCACACTCTTACCCGTCGATCGTCAATTACCATACCATGGATTTTATCGACCACTTCTGGTGTGGTGACCTCTCTTGGACGAACGGCCTGGACGCTCATCATCAAAAATTATCGTACGACCGCGTTTAAATTCGGCAGTCCAATATTTTATTGTTAATAACGAAGGTGCAGAGTCCCCATACACATCATCCAGTTAGATTTTGATCTCATCGTTCGTTTTCGTTTTTAAAAACAAGAATCTAATCACTGCGCGATATTCGATTTTATTCATTTTTGTAAAAATGCAAAATCTGTTCGCCTTCAATCACTGTCAAATACAAACTAAGTGACGCAGCTCGCTGAAAATTTGACAGAAGTCACTTGAAAGATAGTTTTTTCGAAAATCAATTGCATTTGTTCCTAGCGCCGCCAACTCTTGCCGAGGCCGATTATTTCTCAGCCCAGCCTCGTAGGTATCAAAATCAAGATAATAACACAAAATGCTCACATTGCGACCAATAAATATTATATTGGCAACCATGCTTTAAAAATAAGCGAAATACTATAGAAAAGTGTTGAAAGATGGACACCCTGTACAGCTGGAAATAACTTTATCATGAAATATTCAAATTTGCTTCTAGATTCGACCCTTTTAATGAATCAATTGCATGAAAAACCCTGTATATAATTAAATATTTTCTCCAGGTTGCAAGACGATCTTAACAAGCAGAAAGAAATGACGGAAAGCCTTCAAGAAGATCTGAACTCTGTACTATCTGAACTGGGTTAGTTAAAAATAACTTCAACTATAGGATTCTAGGAAAATAATGGAAGATAGAAGCTGTTGAAATTAATTCAAGGTGTTGAATGTTATTAACTAGAGAAGGATATCACTATAACTTAAGATTGTTACATTTAAGTTAATAATGGATGGAATCCAAGTTACTACAATATAAGTCTTATTATTTATATACTACATAAGTTTTCCGTATACAAATTTTATATGAAATGCATTTTTATCGGATTTTGTCTTATTTACAATTTACAATAACGTGTATGAAAAAAATATATAGAAATATACATATTATAACACATTAAGTTGGCACTGTTAAAACTTAATGTTACACTGTTATTCATTCAAAGATTGTTAAAATTCGTATTAATTCTTAGAATAATAATGGATTTTTATCATAATGAATGCATAATTTTTGTGCTGCTGTACTGTGAAAATAAAGTGTGATAAAGAACATACAAATATGTTTCTATATAGGGATATCTGATACACAATGATAGAATGTAAAAAATAAATGGATGAATGCATCTAATAAAACTTACCCTTCGTTCCAAATATTCGAGAACCGAAGACACTATTCAAAGCACTAGTCCGTATATTATGATGAAAAATATTTCATCAACTATAAACCTTTATAAAAAAGAAATAAAGTCACTGAAAACAATTAAACACCGACAATAACAACATAACAACATTCAACGTTTTTGAAAACAATTTATCAGTTTGATTTTGACATATGTCAAAATGTCAATTTTCCAAAATAAAAATCATATATTTGCAGATAATTTATATATGACTATTACCATTACCCTTTTAATTATAAGTATACGAATGATCTAAATGTACCTTTTTTTATATAATCTATGATTTCTTACAGAAGGTCATTCTTCTAGGCCCATCCCTGTATTAAAAACATCAAATTTATAGAATAGTTCTTTTGAACTATTTGTTTAAATTTTACACATTACTAATCGCGATACAGAATCTATGGTTAGCGCGAAAAACATAATTTTCTAATCCTAATCTTTGGTCATTGAAGTGTCAAATAAGAAAATAAAATCAGCTGTTTGGTAGTTTTTAGTTTTATATTTTGAAAAATAAGGAGGTTTTCCTATTGTTTATTGTTAAAAAATAGACAATAATGAGTTATTTTGGGCTAGATCGTATTTTCAAACTGTTGCAAACAATAAAGTCTTATGGAGGAATCCGCGCTTCGTTGTATAAAATTTACAGGTAAAAATTTTGTGTTATGTAAGAGAATATCCTGATTTCATTTTAAAAGTACAGTGAAATTCAAATATTAATATATTTCAGGATGGATTCGTTACGACCCGGAGTATTAGTGGGCACTGATAAATACGGAAACCAATACTATGAAAACCCTAGCTATTTTTATGGCAGAAATCGCTGGGTAGAATACGCTCCAAAATATGGTAAATGGTGTTCATTATAAATGTTCTAGTATTATTTGAACCTTTAATTTCGATCAGGTATGGATTACGACGGTAGTCAAGTACCGGCTGAGTGGTTCGGTTGGCTTCATTACAAAACCGATTTTTTACCTAGTCAAGACCCAAGTCGACCAAATTATAAATGGATGGCTGATCACACTGAAAATTTAAGTGGTACGCCCGGTCAGTATATGCCTTATTCAACCAACAGACCCAAGATCCAAGCATGGGTTCCACTGTCAAAGTGAGATTATGTGAGTTAGAGCAACGTGTAAATAAGTTAAGCCACACAAAATAAAGTAGTTAGGTACTATATCGGATATAGTTTTATTTAAAATCAACTACTTTAATATGGCCTTCAGCATATAAGTAACAACCCTATAAGGCTAATATATAATACCACATAACACACAGAAAAAAAATCCTATCTCTAGTCTTTATCAGGGTTATAGGAATAATATAATTTATATGGTTTTCAGTAAGTAAAACATAAATAAATATTTATGCTATTTATATTACATATATTTACAGTTTAGTTTTCTATAATAATATTTTCATCTATCGGAATTTCTAAAATTTCCATGTCTCCGGGTAAATGTTCCATATCAATATTTACATTTTGAAATTGCATAGTCTCCCCCATCTCGTACAAAGGTACTGCCTCAAAGGTGATGTCATCTTCCATTACTTTGTATTCTATCAACGAATCTAATTCTTTATCAGCTTCAACTTTCAGTGAGTGTGATCTTTTGGTAATATCAAGATGATCAGATAGCATATGTCTTGTTAAAGACGATCCATACTGATAGGAGCAACTACATACAGTACACCTAAAATTTATCATTAAAGTTAAATTCAGTTGAGATAAGGATTACAGTGACGTGTATATAATCTAGGCAAAAAAGTGTTGCCTACACAAGACGAAATCATAAAACTTTTTTTCATATTACAGTAGTAAGTCCATACTAATCCAACAGATACGAGTATTGATAATAAGCATTTTTTATCTTATTTTTATTCTAGAAAATACCTTATACAGGGTGTATTTCTGTAATCAAAATAAGTTCATTGGACACAATTTACCTCTATACAAGTACTTCATTTGTCCGTTACAGAGCATCAAACTTTAAAAAACTAAACACATTTTTTAAGATATTTTAAGAACTGTTAATCCGATTTGAATGAGATTTGGGGGGCTTATGTTTTACGAACTTAAAATTTGACATGTTGTAGTGAATTTGATAATTATTTTTCTGATATTATATGAACATGATATATGGTATACGTCGATACTAGTTTTGTATCTGTTAAAACATTTTAATACGTTTTTTGTAATTAATGATACCACCTAAATATGCAGCATACACCATAGGCGTAGTCAAAACATTTATCAAAAATATAAATATCTCTTCATAAGTTAAGAAAAATTAATACAACAACAATTTGGTCTCGGGTGTTATTGGTTCTTGTATTCTTTAGTCATTGGTTAGCCCAGTGCAAACATAAAGTGTTTTGGTGTATTTAGGTGAATTAGTGTTTTATTTTGAAGTTATTAATAACATTGATCTTATTCCGTCTTACTTGAACGCTCCATCTCCGCTATGAATTTCAGTATGCCTCTGTAAATTGGAATGCCTGGTAAACTGCCTGCTACAAAAATCACAAGAGAACACTTTTTTCTGGGTTTGTTGTTTGTTCTCAGCGACAGTTGGTAGCTCTGTCAAGTATTCTTCGTTTTGTTTTTTCAGAAAGAAATGTGCAGTTAGATGTTTCTTCAATTCTTTTAAATTTGCATACCTAAAAATCATATATGTTTTTACTACATTGTTATTGACGAGCCACCCCTGTATAAAACTGACACTTCCTCTTAAAAGAAAAAAATAAATAAACTTTATTTCGTCCCATTGCTGCCAAAAGTCACTAACTTACTTTTTGTTACTTCCGAGAAAAATGCGTCTAAAGATGAATTGCATTGCATAAAGATTTTATAGTTAGTAACTATTCGGTATTAAAATAAAACATAAATAGCGAGAAATCATAGTTAATAACTTTTGCAATCGATTCTCCGCTTCAAAACATAGTGATTGAATTTGGTTGTTCGGAAAAATGTTAGTTAGTGACTTTTGGCAGCAATAGGACGATTTGTCATTACCTTTTAGAACAATACTTGCACTGCACTGGCTTGAAATGTACTTGCATATGTCTTCCTAGTTGTAAGGCTGTCACAAATTTCTTGTTGCATTCATCACATTGAAATGGCGACTCCTTGCTATCTTCTATGTGCGTTGTTATATGCTCTGACAAATCCCTCTTGTGTGAGAATTTCATAGGACAAAACTTACAGCTAAAACATGCATTTGTGACTACCAGCAACTACCAACATAAAGACTCAGTAGATGTATACCATATAGTAGCAGTTGTATTACTCTAGGATAGATATAGTAAATAAATTGCATCTCAAAAGTGGCCCACGTCTATAACTTTTTTATTTTTTCAGATAAAAATCGAGATTTGGTGTGTTACTATATATGACATAAATTAGGATTGATTGACGTATTCAATTGTTTTTGGTTACTTCCTGTTTCACCGGAAATTACTACAACTTTTGATGTTTAAACGACACCCTCGGTATTTTGTTACTTTCTTCGATAGAAAATGGCACTCTAAATAGAATGACATACCATATGCCAACTTTTAACATTCTCGCTTAAAAAAAATTGTATTTTATATTTCAATCTAGAGTGTCATGGCTGTGTTAAAAATATTAATTTCCAATCAAGGAGCCTGGGAAAAATAGATTTGATCGTCTGATGTTTTTCGTGCCTTGTCCTGGCCAGTTAAAAGATGCCCCGATCGTATTTTTACTCAATTAAATCAATATCTCAATTTTTTCAAATGGAAGGAGGGTGGCTCATTAGCATATTTGGAAAAAGCATTTTTTAACGAATTATTTGATACTACACACTTGGTATTTCGAGTCAAAATGTCGTGATGTATAAAAAGCAATTTAAATTAAATATAAAAATTGATACTAACTTAAATGCGTCAACGCTAGATGACTTTGGTACAAAATGGGAGGATTTTGGCGTATTATTCGTCGGTGTCAGCATTATTAAACTTTGTATATTTCCATACATATTTAATGGACTGATTATCACTCTGGACGTTCGATTGCCTTCGGAATTCACGGTGATTTGAATGGTTATATTCACTGGCCTGAAAAATCAAAAAATTATTTAATAAAATGTACAGTGTGATCAAATAAAAACCACGTCGACGATTTAATGGAGAAATAACATTTCAGTTTGAATTGCCCCTATTATCCCCTGCCAAAATCGATGCTGTCAAGTTTAACAATACCAAACCAAAATTGCTCAATATTACCTATAAATCTAATATATTTTTAGTTCATTTCAGCATACATAATTATATGCAAGGTGTCCCAGGCTGAGCGTACATTAGAAGTTTTTAGAAATTTACACATCATTGTCTCACAGTGAGATCTATCAATTAAAAATATTTTCAATATGGCGGCATTTCCCGATATGCCGGAAGTTGACAGCAACTTTCTTATATTAAATGGGTACCCCCATTTTTTATTACATACTTAAACTCTCTGTAAAATTTTATGAATTTTGATATCAAACACTCTATACCGAACATTAACAGTTTCTGAGAAAAAAAATATTTTAAAATTTTTGGAGGAAAAAATCCGCCTGTCAAAAAATGTGTATAGCCTAAACGTCAAATGTAGTGATTACACAGGCACTGTGACATAAAGAGAAGACATGTGGCTATCTATTTCAAAGATTAAATTGTTTGAATGTCATATAATACTGGCCGCAACTTCCCCTAGGACATGCAAGACCTTGTCGTTGGTGGGGAAGCTCCTGGTCAGGTGCTGGGGGGAATCCCCTCTAGCACTTGGCTTGGTCTAAGAAGCATCTCACTCATCGTCTTGTCCCTGACTGTAGTGTCGTGGCCAGGGAATTGCACCAAGACATATAACGATACCGGGCGGGGCTATGGACAGCCTCAACCTTGGGGCACCGGGGGGCACCCCATTGTATTTTACACCTTACTTCTACATGCGGGGCTCTGTAGAAGTGGACCGACTGTCCCTAGCGACTCATAGGAACACTATGAGATCTGATAATAATAGTAATAAAAACATCACCGGTGAAGCTGTGGGGAAACCCCTAGCGACACTGAGAACAGTAACAATGAAAGTTCCAAGAAGCCAAACCCAAAGAACTACAGGAGAGGTGGCTGACACTTGCGTGAGACCATACTCCGCAAGTGGCATACATGCTACCACCTCCTCCAAGGGTCAGGGAGCCTACCTCCTACCTCTAAACCCAACAGGCGACACAAGCTACCGTTTCGTCTACCCGGCCTGGGTCGTAGCTCCTCGACTGTGAGGGACACGGGTCTCCGTAGGAAGTCCTGGGACTGTATGATGAGTTATAACTCAAGAAAGGGGGACACAATAGATCTCTAAGGTCGCAGAGATTAACCCCCCTCCCACTTATTCTAATTCTAATACTGGCCGCAGCTGTCATGGAATAATCTCTCAATTAAAAAATTATCATAAACCATTTTTTTTTCAAATGAAAACCACCATATTTCACTAGTAAAAAAGATTTTCAATTCGTTACTTTTTGTTTATACATGTTCCTATACCTAAAATATGTAAATCGTTTTTAAGTTATTTAAGATTTAGTTTTAAGGCTAATCTATATGATCTCTTGACACTCATTATCAGTTGTTATTCCCCAGAAAAAGCTATTTCTAAGCCTGCTGTGACGTAGTCTTCATTCGATCACCCAATATTCCCACCAAAAACGAACTTTAAGCCGGTCCCTGTGTCGGTTGTTGTTTCGAAGCCGGCACCATTTAGTATGATGTCTTTGGGGTTACTGTCCGGTACAAATGTCCAGCTTTCGGAAAAGCTGTCCGCCTCGTCGTCTAACTTGTATTCCCTCACCATATACCCGCTACAATAAGAGACGTTCTTCTCGTACTCCTTTTTGTCTTGATTATAATTTTTCTCCAACACCTTAAAAGAGATAACAGTTAAGGGTTGGAACCTTTGGTGTTAACAGCAGCAAAATAAAACACTAATTCACCACAATACACCAAAACCAGAGCCGCTTTATTCTCTAGGCAAGACAGGCAGCTGCCTATGGGGCATTTTTTTTAATTAAAAAAATATTGATTGACTATTACTTGGAAAATAATGTTCGACAATAAAACACACTTACTGTCACAATAGATATACCAAAAAATTGTATCCCCATAGACATTACTTAACTACAAAGATGTAACTTAAACTTACTGATATATCCCATGTACTTTATGGTTCATGCCTAAATTTAAGTGATATAAAAATATTAGAACGTATGCAAAAGTCCTGTTTAAGGTTCTCCTGCGGTATCCGCAAATTTCAAAGAACATCATATAGGCTTGGTGCATGTCAGTTGACTTCGAATAATTCCGACCGCAGCACTGCATACGGCAGAAAAGAAAATTTCTGATTTCTGAGAAATCAGAAATTTTCGCTATGTATTTAGCAAGCCTATAGGCTTGGTGCATTCTCCGCCGGTGCTGCCCCCATCGGACAATATTGTAAACATTCGATATATACAAATACACAGGTTGAAATAGCGAGTATACGAAAAATATATTATTTAATTATTCTAAAAGTGTTAGGAAGTATAATTTGTGAAAATTCTAAAACTAAAAATAAAAAAGTAAATGTTTTGATATCTGCAGAAGGTCTAACTTGCATAATAATTTATTATTCCAGTTAAAAACACTTTTTAGATGAGTTCTACGGTAGCGAGCATAGTTTTAATCACCGGTTTTGCTAGTGGGGCATAATTGGGGCTATTTTGGCTATAACGGATTTTTTTTAAAAGTACATTCATTTAATACTACTAATAATAATATGGTAATTATATTTTTAGTAGATGTTCATAAAATATTTAATCTAGTTGATTAAAAAAAGTATACCATTAATATTGAAAATTATATTTTATATACCGGGTGCGTCTCAAAAGTGGCTCATCCCCCTATAACTCTTTTATTTTTTCAGATAAAACAACGAGATTTGGTATGTTAGTATATGACATAAATTAGGATTGATTGGTGTATTCAATTGTTTTCGATCACTTCCTGTTTCACCGGAAATGACTACAACTTTTGATTTTTAAATGGCACCCTCGGTATTTTTTTACTTTATTCGATAGAAAATAACATTCTGAATAGAATGACATATCATATGTCAATTTTTGACATTCTCGCTTAATAAAAATTTGTATTTTAAAATTCAATCTAGAGTGCCATGGCTATATGTTAAAGACACTAATTCTTCATCAAGGAGCCTTGGAAAATAGATTTGATCGTCTAATGTTTTTAGTGTCTTGTCCTGGCCAGTTAGAAAATGCTCAAATCGTATTTTTAATCATATCTCAATTTTTTCAAATGGAACGAGGGTGGCTCATTGGCATATTTGGAAAAAGTATTTTTTTACGAATAATTTGATAGCACACACTTGGTATTTCGAGTCAAATTTTCATTACGAACCGCAAGTTATAATTTCAAATAAACCATATGCGAAAATGTCAAAAGTTGACATATGATATGTCATTCTCTTCAGAATTACATTTTCTATCGAATAAAGTAAAAAAATACCGGGGGTGTCATTTAAAAATCAAAAGTTGTAGTCATTTCCGGTGAAACCGGAAGTGACCGAAAACAATTGAATACGTCAATCAATCCTAATTTATGTCATATACTAACATACCAAATCTCGTTTTTTTAACTAAAAAAATAAAAAAGTTATAGGGGTGAGCCACTTTTGAGACTCACCCGGTATATCTATTTAATTTTTTGATTATGTAACGAGCACTTTGTTTGCTCACTTGTTTCGTCGAACTGCTTGAATCTTGAATTTATTTTTGCTTTTGATCAAATCGGTGTGAGAAACTATGAACCTATTAAAATGTTGTTTCGGAAGATTTGAATATCCGGGAATGTTAAGTTATTGAATGTTATTGCACCAAACAACGCCCTAATTACGCTCTCCTTTACGCGTTAACATTTTTTCGGCAATTTTATTAGCATTTGAAATTGTCACAACACAACACGACGCCTTCGAATTCTTTTTCACTTATTTTTTACTACCCGAAACAGCGTTACATCACACAAACCTCGTACTGAGTGTTTTATAGTCTCAATAACTGCACTAGCAAAAAACTAAAATACCTAAATATTATGACAAAACCATGATTTTAATATTATTTAAATTTTTTAATAATTTCTGATTTCGGCCGTTGAAGCGCTGCGGTCGGAATTTGTTGAAATCAACTGAAATGCACCACGCCTATACATTGACTACATCTAAAGGGCTAAATATGAAATACAGGAGGATGCTCTAATATTAATTTTAATAAACTACCTTTAAAATAATGGGTCTATCCTTCAACTTTTTAACAACGCTATCCATGTTCATCAACCCCGATAGTGTCTTAGCAATGAGACTGAAACAGTCTTTGCTTACAACTTTATCTTGAATAACGATATTAGAGTTGGCAATTAAGTGCCCTTGCAAATTGTCTTTTTGATTGTTTTCAGTTGATTTTGGTGGGGAGTCCTTTTTTATAGTTGCGTCAAAAGGCACTCTGTTTTCTATAAGTGATGGGCTCTTTTTTATAACGGACTTGCCTAAAAAACATAAGCTGTATTATATCTTAAGTTGACAACTACCTGATAAAATAACGACCAAAGTCTGTCCAACGAGTTCGGGAAGAATTTGACAGACGACATCTAAAAAATGACAGAAAGTACAATTTTCCTGTGAATTAAAATGACAGAACCGTCACTGTCGCGAAGCCCCTCTCGTTGGGCAGATTATAGTATAAGCATAGAATTAATACTGCTACCGTATGATCGAAAAAAAACGGCGTCAGCGATGGCTATGGAATGAAGATCGCTGTCATTTTATATGTAAATTTATATGGGAAATGTCATTGATGTTCATTTCCCAGCCAACTGGACGCCGTTTTTTTTCGATCATACGGTAGAAGGCTAGTAGAGTCAGAAGTCTCTCATGAAGAAAGAGAGTAAATAATATAGGGTTTGGACAGTAACACGCTTGCCCGGGTAGATACATAGAGTTTTCAAGGTTTAAACACTGTTTCCAAATGATGAAAAAGCTTCCATTTTACGAGAACTTTAATTATCCAAGGAAAAAATGAATACCAAAACCAAAGTTTACAGAATTCTACTGTAAACTTTGGCAAAACTAAGCATATTCCTTAAATATTTTCAGTTAATATGTTTTTTTTCTCCCAGTTTTCGCCTGGAACGTTTCATTAAATTAATTGTTTTTCACAATTACATTAGTTTGGTTTGGTAGGTGGTAATATAAAAATATAAACAAAAAAATTGGTTATATGTTGGCAAATATCACCTATAATAGCTACTACAAGATATCACCTCCCGCCATCATATACAGGGTGACTTTCTTACGATGTTCTCTATGGGTATCTCAGAAACTACTGGAAATAGACAGTCGGTTAAATGGGGAAAGAATTGCAGTTTTGTGGGGTCATAAATATGCACCTTTCAGATTTTTTAAAAAGTTCATGGCTTACTATTTCGAAAAAAACAAATTTCGGCTATTTTAAAAATTGTCCATAATTACATTATAAGTTATTTTAGGCAAAAGGTTTTCAGAGTTGTAGATAATCACATCCTTAATTAGATTGTGTCCCCCGTTATTTTCTAAAGCCTGTCATTTTTGACATATGATACAAACATATGTTTTTTTAAATGGAAACCATAGTTGACCATGACTTCATAAAAAGCGCCATTTTTTGAGCTTTTTAGCGATATAAGCTATAATATGTTTTCTTCAAAAAATTACTGAGTTATAGCCAATTCTTGTAATTTAAAACAATTTTACTTAGTTAGCCATGGAAACAAGTTCAATCGCCGTTGCTCAGAAATCTGAAGCTGTCACCTCCAAAATAAACAAAAATTGTAAATATGAGTTTTTCAAATGAATAAAAGCGTGTAGATACTCGCGCATCAATAGAGTGGTTCCAACATGACTTTAATTCTAACACCCCCCAACCCCCATTATGAAAGGAATGTTAAAAATTATTTATATCATAATTATGCACACTTAGGGATAGGAAGAGGCGAACTAATTGCGTGGGCCTCCTCGATTACCTGACCTATCCATTTTAGATTTTTTATGCGGTATGGTTAACAATAAGGTTTACAAAAGAACTTATGAATTAAGAGAGGCACTCGAAGTGGCGGTACGAGAGAAGTTTAATAAGTCGACCGGTCCTTCTGTGAGGATAGGTAGTAATTCAGTTTTAAAAAGATACAACTCAAAACAATGTTGGATTTTTTGAACATTTTCTAAAATATCTTAAAGTGTATGTAGTGATATTATTTTTTTAAGTTTTAGGTTGTGTAATGTAAGTTGTATACAACCGTATAGTAATATATTCTGACTTTTTATAAGTTATAAATCATAAAAGAATAAGAATACCAGGCAATCTAAGTGAAATTAGTCAAGAAAGATAAGAATTCGCTATAACTAAATTTAACTTTTCTAACATGTCTTGAAAACTGTAAAAAACGTAACATTCACCGGTTAACGTATCCTCGAAAATGTATGGTCAAAAAAGTTGAACCAATAATCCTACACGCTTTTCTTCATTTGAAAAATTCATATTTACAATTTTTGTTTTTTTTTAATTTACAAAGTTTGGATGTGACAGCTTCACATTTGTGAGAGCAAAGACGATTAAACTTGTTTCCATGGCTAACTAAGTGAAATTGTTTAAAAATTATAAGAATTGGCTATAACTCAGTAATTTTTTCGAAGAAAGCATATTATAGCTTATATCGCTGAAAAACTTTAAAGATGGCGCGTTTTATGAAGTCATGGCCAACTATGGTTTCCATTTAAAAAAACATATGTTTGTGTAATATGTCAAAATTTTTTTTGTCTAAAATAGCTTATAATGGAAGTAGGGACAAATTTTAGAATAGTCGAAATTTGTTTTATTCGAAATATCTAGTAAGCCAGGACCATTTTCAAAAATCTGAAAGGCGCATATTTATGGCTCCACAAAACTGCAATTCTTTTCCCATTTAACCGACTCTCTATCTCCAATAGTTTCCGAGATACCCATAGAGAGCATCGTAGGAAGCTCACTCTGTATATAATATTCATCACTATAATATTTTGTCAGCTTCTGTGACACAACTACAAAATAATAACTTTTTTTCTCAATAAATTTTGATAACATATATGAGTTTAAGATATATATGTCTGTGATATACTAGCCTTCTAGGAGTATTAAGTATATGAGTATAAGTATACATACCTGAACTTTTTCGTTTGCAAGTTTTGAAATCCTTTTTAATACTTTTAAGCGAATCGGTTAAATGTATATTTTCACTTTCACTATACGCTTGCTGTATAGGTAGAGACTGCAATATACTCCTATCGTCTTCAATATCCCGCTTATTGGCCTGATTAAAATTGGTGAGACATTTATTATCAGTAGTGGATGATGTTGTAACAGTAGTCTTGGGCACAGTATTTTTCTTTATTACATCCACTATTTTTCCAACCATAAGTTTACCGTGACTTGTCCGAAAAAGTGGGATTTTTTTATTAATTAATTTTTTTATTGGCGATTCTTCGCGAGGTACTATAACTTGATTGTCAATAACTAAAATAGTAATAAACATAAATTAGGTATATTATATACACTCACCAGCAGGAAAAACGGGCATCTAAAAATTTTGATGTATTTTAAAGTTTTATATACAGGGTGCTACAAATTCGAGGTACGAGCACTGGTATCTCGGAAACCGTCATAGATACGAAGATGGTTAAATTGGGGCAAAGTTACGCCTTGTCATGTTCACCATGATGCTATCAAAAAAGTTTTTAAAATTTCAAGGATTGCTGAGCTTTTTGGAAAAAACGATTTTTTTTGAAAATCAAAATTATTTTTTCCTGTCGTTACTTTTTAGAAAATCAAAAAACTAATTGCATATTCTCATAGCCACTTTATTAGGGCTATCTGACAGTATTTTTAGATTTTCAAATTAGCTGATTATTTGTGAGATACGAGCCCGACTTCATTTTTTTAAATACGGACCTGTATTTTTATTTCAGTTTTTGAAAGAACTCGGTCTCCTGAGTACAATGATATGCCACACTTTATACTTTTTTTTTGTTTTGGGTACCTTAACAACAACAAAACTATTTAATTATTACTTAAAATATTTTCAAGTCCGACCCTGGTTTCTTAAAATATTTAATCTGATTATATTCATTGCAACAATATTGATCAGCGCTAATTAACACTGAATTAGGAAAATCGAGCCAATTGAAAGATTCAAATAAATAATATCCAGCTCAGCAATTAAAGATATTATTTTTAACTTTTTTTATTGTGAATTTGAAATTCTCAGTGTACGATCTAACAATATGCATAATATTAATCGTAGTTATTATCAATAAATCACCTTCTACAAACTAGTTTCTAATGATCTACATGTTCGAAAGGGTTACCATCTTGCCTATTGCACAAATTTATTATTCTGTCAATTTTATTTATAGCTCTTTGAACATATCTTCTTCTTATACTTCCGAATGTATTTTGTACTCTTTATTGTAAATGTTGAAAAATATTGATTTCACTTTTACAAATGACGTCAAGAAATGCGATTATTTTTTTTTATTGAATTTGATTTTTCGTATTCAATGTTTTACCCCACGTCAGAGTTAAATTTGAAGACTTATCAATATTGTAACGATGAATAATTTAAATATTTAAAAAACAGAGCCGGACTTGAAATTAGTTTAAATAAATTTTGTGTTTAAATGTCCGAAACAAAAAAAAAAGTATAAAGTGTGGCATATCAGTGTACTTAGGAGACCGAGTTCTTTCAAAATCTGAAATAAACAATGCAGGTCCGTATTTAAAAAAATTAAGTCTGCCTCTGTATCTCACAAATTATCAGCTAATTTGAAAATCTAAAAATACTATCAGATAGCCCTAATAAAGTGGCTATGAGAATGTGCAATTAGTTTTTTGATTTTCTTTCTTTGATACCAATGCTCGTACCTCGAATTTGTAACACCCTGTATATTGTGTCCTAGTTCGCCGATTTTGAGGATTTTTTAAGCTATTTGTAGCTAAATTCTTTTACTTTTTAATCTCTTTCTAAATTAAAAATGAAATTCTATCTGTCAATTATACGAGGGAACAAACAAAATGTTATTATTTTGTTGAAAGTTTGGAGCACCCTGTGGAATATGTTAACGAAGCAAGGAATTTGAACATTTTTATAACCTAGGATCCTCAAGACAAATTCATATGCTAGACGTTTTTTTAACACGACCAACGCAACGGTTTGACAAACCGCCTGTCTGTCTTCCCTCTCTCCAATCACAGTGAAATACGATATGTTAATTTTGACATAAACCAATTTTTCAATCGCATAAAAAACACGACAGACGACGCACTAGAACATACCACTAGTAAGTGTGCCTTAACTAACCTTTTATTTTTCTTTTTACTTCAATATCTTTGAATTTGGTGTTCTGTATTTTATTCAGATATTTTGTCAATGTTATCGGCTGTCCAGTTAACAAATTCCTACCTAAAAAAGTGCGTTATTATTATTATATCATTATTTATTTATTATCTTATCACTTAAGGCGGGATGATATGGTCAAAGTTACTTGGACCAAGTACATTTGGATGCTATCATATAACTCTACTCATAGGCTTGGTGCATTCTCCGCCGGTGCTGCTGCCGCCGGAAAACTCGTAAATAATAGTACGAGAGCTAGCAACGTCGGAAAAACAAGTATTTTAAGACGTCTGGCTTTTTGATATATCTTTTCCTATGCTCTCTAGAACAGCATGCGGCCCGTCTGGCCGCCGGTAAACGTTGCGTTCTCTACTGCGCATTGAAAGAAGATCCTATATTTTTATTACTCCTTTAAATTCTAGTATTGAATATTAATCGAACATGTCTCCATAGCGCAGTGCGTAGAGTTTCCGACCACGAACCGATGATTCAGAGTTCGAATCCGGGTCAGGTTAAAGACTTTTTTATTTTATTTTCGTTTATATTCTGATAGTAAAGTATTAAATATTTGTTTTTTTTTAATTACCAGACTTATTTAATACTTTACTATCAGAATATAAACGAAAATAAAAAAGTCTTTAACCTGACCCGGATTCGAACTCTGAATCATCGGTTCGTGGTCGGAAACTCTACGCCCTGCGCTATGGAGACATGTTCGATTTATATCCAATACTAGAATTTATAGGACTAAATTAATAAAAAATATAGGATTTTCTTTCGATGCGCAGTAGTGAACGCAGCGGGTATCGGCAGCCAGACGGGCCGCATGCTGTTCCAGAGAGCATAGTAAAAGATGTATCGAAGAGCCAGACGTCTTAAAATACTTTTTCGAAAACGTTGCTAGCTCTTAGTCTATAACGAACACATACAAATACACGGGTTTAAATGACGAGTAAACGAAAAAATTAGTATATAATTATTCTAAAAGCGTTAGAAAGTGTAATTTGTGGAAATTCTAAACTAAAAAGTAAAAAGGTAAATATTGCGATATCTTCCGAAGGTCTAACTTGCATTATAACTTATTATTCCAGTTAAACAAATTTTTTAGATGAGTTCAACTATGGTAGCGTACATAGTTTTATCACCGGTTTTGCTAGTGGGGCATAATTGGGGCTATTTCGGCTATAACGAAATTTTTAAAGGTACATAATTATAATTTTAGAAGATGTTCATAAAACATTTAATCACTAGTTGATTAAAAAAGTATAATATTAATATTGCAAATATTTCATCCTCTCATAGTATATGTCTATTTAATTTTTTGATTATGTAACGAGCGCTTTGTTTGCTCACTTGTTTCGACGAACTGCTTGAATCCATTTTTGCTATTGATCAAATCGGTGTAAGAAATAATGAAGCTATAAAATGTTGTTTCGCGAGAGTTGAATATCCGGGAAAGTTCAGTTATTCAATGTTATTGCACCAAACAACGCCTTAATTACGCTATCCTTTACGCGATAACATTTTTTTAGGCAATTTTATTAACATTTGAAATTGTCACAACACAACAAGACGCCTAGTTCGAATTCTTTTTCACTTATTTTTTACTACCCGAAACAGCGTTACATCACACAAACCTCGTACCTTAGTGTTTTATAGTCTCAATAACTGCACTAGCAAAAAACTAAAATACATAAATATTATAACAAAACCCGATTTCAATAATATTTTAATGCGATCGACATGACGGCGGCGTGAACTATGTACTTATATTTTCTGATTTCTGCCGTAGAGTGCGCTGCGGTAGGAATTTGTTGAAATCAACTGAAATGCACCAAGCCTATAATGATGCTGTGCGCATCTCACTTGTACGCTGCTCGTATAGTATTGATTGTTTGATCAAAGTCGAGTTGGAAGGCTTTTTAACAACAAAGTACCGTATGATCGAATAAAAACGGCGCGGCGTCAGCGATGGCTATGAAATGACGACCGATGACATTTTCCATATAAATTTACATATAAAATGACAGCGATCTTCATTTCATAGCCTTCGCTGGCGCCGTTTTTATTCGATCATACGGTACTTGAATGCTACAAAGCCGTCCAACTTCAACGGTAACGAGACTACGTGAAATAATTTAAACCCGGCACTTCTAATTTCTGTCGTATCGAGCGCTGCGGTCGGAATTTTTAAAATTAACCGAAATGAACCAAGCCTATAGGTATATTTATATGGCGACATCCGGTTGACTTGGTCCAAGTACACTTTAACCGTGTCAACCAGGCTTTATAGAGTCAGTTTATTACCTTTAATAGATGACAAATCGTCAATAGTTTTATTATCTAATTGAAATGTGGGCTCTTCTATTACAGTTTCACTATTGTTTGCACTCTGTATAGGTAAGTTATTTATTTCATATATGTGATTAGTCGGTTGGAAATGGATCATTCCATTTTTTAGAACTGCACATTGATAGCTAAATGAATATTATTAAAACTATTTTTTTTTTTATCGCTACAGGATGGTCCAAATAGTAATCAGGAAACTTCGGCAACATATTCTGCAGACATATCTATACATACATATTTTTTAACTGTTTTGAAAAGTAAGAACTTTTCGTCGGTACCTGTATTACGTTACTGAGTGAATAAATATACATTTCCGCCGTTTTTCACGTAAAAAGGCCTCTAAGTAAAAATCGCTATGAGTAACGGTTGTCAAGATATTTGAAATCAAAAATAATCAATACAAGACGTCATTGACAAAAATTAAACATGACAAGAAAATTATCAGACTGAAATAATAAATTTGAAATATTTTTGTGCCAAAAGTTCAACAGAAATTGTTTTAGCATGATTTTTTTCTACAAAAAATTATAATTCATTTAAAAAAATAAAAGGTTGCCATATTTATAATTTCAGTCAAATGACTATCTAGCCAACATGTTTATTTTTTGACAATGATGACATGTAGTGATCATTTCCATCAGGGGGGTGACAGTAAACCGGAAAATTGGAAACAGTTCTGGCGCGGTCCTACCCAGGCAGAAAGCATGGCCTTCTAGACTGTCCTAGACAAAAATCTGAATATTTCTATATGATTTCTGTCAACTTCTGTTACGGAACATTTTTATGCACGTCGGCGTCCTCTTCTTTTGTCTGTGTGTCAGCGATATGTCAACTCCCGAGGCCTCTGGCAAGGTCGAGCGCCATTTTAGTTTTTGCCGTTTAGATTTGATTGGAAGTTTGTTTATGATATTTCGGCTGAAATTTATAAGTACAAAGATCTTTTTTGATATAAAGTTCCTTGTTAACACTTTAATAAAGTATATATGATATTAATTACATAAAGAAAATGATAAATCGACGTTTCTGCGTGTAGTAGGTATGGGCCATATTATACGTAAAAATAGGTAATATATTAACTGTTTTTATATTTTTTTAGCTTTAGATCCAAGGATCTTGGGATATTCTTTACCAAGGATTTTTCCGTATCTCTACTTTAAAGACTGATCGGAGATTTTGAGCAATTGAAAGCAAGTTACACAAGGTAAATTATGATTATTGAAATATTATTAGCCTACATTAATTATCTACAAGATGAACATAAATGCGTAATTACATAGCACATAGGTACCTATTATGTATTTTCATAGCAATAATGCTATGTATGTAGATTATTTTTAAAATACAAATGAGGTATTAGATGTATATGTATCATATTTTTTATTCATTTTATTTTCATTCAAGTCCTGATTTAATTCACAAAAGTCTTATGTACCTATATTTATATTTTTTTACATATTTTTTTTGGTTCCAGGTTTTGCGTGGGTTTCTGTTGTCTTTTTCCTGCTTCCAGTTAGTTTTACGCCCGTGAAGCTGTGAAAACATTTATTTATCTTCAAGTTTCTGTAAGTCAGTGCACTCTGTTACTTTACTAATTCACTTTAACACAGCATCTCTGATGTTATTTAAATATTTTGATATTGATACAGTAGTTTATGTGTTTATAGCTAATTGTGTTGATTTGCATATTTACATTGTTCTAAATTCCAAATAAATATTTTTCAGTAATTTTGTTGTATTATTTACTACTAGAAAGAGTAAAAAGTATATTAACCCAGATTTAAACCTCCTGAACAGCCCGCCATTAAAAACCCGGAAACGGAAATAAATTTCATAAAACTGAAATTGTCATGTCTATGTCATTGTCTATGTCATGTCATAGTCATGTCAAATGTCCCAGCCGCCATATCTGAAAATTAGTTACCCAGGCAGCCACGCTGTTTCCATAATTTAACATTGACTTGACACTTCTTCTTGTATTTATTATTTTATGATTTCCATCACAAATATCTTGAGAATGGCTCTGAGAACGGTTGCCCGTAGCGATTTTTACCAAGAGACCTTTCTTACATAAAAAAAACGCGTAAATGTATATTTTTTCACTCAGTAGTTTTATACAGATACGGATGAAAAGTTATTACTCTTCAAACACTTATAGAAAATGTAGATAGCAATAATTTGGATAAAATCGAAATTAAAATGAAACTTCTACACCCTGTATCTCAAAAAGGAAATATTTTAGGACAAATTGTATACGAAATTTTTTACTTATTTTTACGTGTAGAAAATGCTGCCAAAGTCTCCCGAACATACATAATTCGGACCACCCTGTATAGTATATATATTTTTATTAACTTACCTTCCTTCTTCAACTTCTCTAATGTCGTCTTGTTGTAGTATTTGTCCTAAATCAATAACACTTTCTTCTGTTGCAGAATCTAACTGTACCATTTGTAAAGGTACATCGGTACTCTCATCTGAAAATGTAGCCAGTTGGTATGCACAATTATTGTTCTGTAATCGTATAAAAGGAAAATTAACAATAAAAAAAATACCAGCATGTACCTACTTGTGTATTTAGTGCAAAAGGTATGTCACTTCCTTCAAGAAAATAAACCTGTTGTTGTTCATCTGGTTGATCATCATTTGAAATAATATGGCCATTAATTGCTTGAAAAAGTTCATTGTGTTCATCAGAAATTACTATCTGATCTATCAGAGAATAATATATTAATAAGTCATATGTTAGCCAAGTCAGCTAGTCTGATAAATTAATTTATTTACTTACCAGAGGTTTCATCAAAATTATACCCATTAATATCTTCATCGTTTAAAACTAGAGCTTGTCCGTCAGATGTTACGAGAGCTCCATTAATTATCATTGCTCTGGTACCGTCTTGTAGAATAAACTAAAACGAAATATAATATAGTAACAATATAAAACATGGAACTGTTGATAATTTATTATAATATCCTTACCTCTGTATTATCCTCCAATTCATGATTAGATGCATTTATTATCTGGCTCCCATCATACAAATAATCCATTTCTCCGCACTCATCAGTTGTATTTATCTCAATTGAATTTTGCAATAAATTTTGGATACCATACATCTTTAGATGATGTGAAAAAAACAGTATAAAAATCTTTTAATTTATAGTACCTTATTTAATATCATTATATTCGGATTTCTTAAATATAATAAAGAATATTTAAAAACTCAAAGGCGGAAAACTTTCAAATATTTGATTTTTCAATATCAATCGGTAAGTATACACACCTTTACTGAATATGATCGGCCCTGTCGGTAAGAAAATGGCGATTAACAATTACCGACTCAGCACTTTTTGAATTTTTCCTACAAGTTGAAAGGTTCTATGATAATATGGTCCTAAACTATCCTTAACAATTTTCTACCATGTGTTTGTATTCTGATTTTACTATTTACCGCTGTATTTAATTTTCTTTAGCTATTCTGCTTTGTGTACATTTTTATAATGAAAATAAATGTTCCACAACAGCTCCATCTGTTTGTTTTATCTAGAGTTAAGAACTGTATATGATACCGACTGTTCTTTCCATCGAAGGTTTCGTACATTCATACGTCACTAAAGGACCTGTTTAAAAAGTGAGCTATATTTTTAATGAATACTTTTACATTTTATACATCATGAATTGTATGGTTATGCGTTATCATGTAGTATATTAATATCTAATTATTTTTCATCGATTTGTTACCCATTTTAATTAATTACGTCATTAGAACTACTCAAAACGCTGTGGTTTATTACACAAATCATATATAAAAAAATTGTATCCATAAATTTTTATCTATGATCTAAGATACTTTCCAAGTGCCCTTGAAAGAAAGACAGTTGTATGGTTGTATGGACAGGTGTTTGGTTTTGGTTGTTGTGAGCATGTTGTGAGTTGTGATTAGTTGTGATTTTTGAAAATAATCTGCAAATTTTAGGTCTTTTTTCTTGTTTATCTTTTTAAATTTATATATCTGCGATTTAAGAAAAATTGTTTTACTAAAATGAAAAATGCAGATAACAGTTCTGCAGCCGAAAACACCATTTTTAACCTTCTAGCGGCAGACGAAACAAATTATGAATTTGCGAGTTTACAAACTAAAGCTGTAAATGCAATTTCTACAAAGTTGACCGATGTTATTTATGATACGTTGAAGCAAAAGAGTATTGCCAGTGTTACCAAAAGATGTAACATTTTGGTAATTTAAGTTTACTTACTTTATAAAAACTTTTCCCACACTATAATATTGTAATTTGTTACAGAAATTTTTAAATGCTACATGTAAAGTTTGTAATCATCAACTTGACTCAAATTACCTGCAAATTTACTTGGATACCTATAAAGCAGCAAATTATAAGGACATTGAAATTCAACATTTGATACATACTTGTAACTATGAACTCCTTCACCAAGAATTTAGAAATGATTTGAATTCATTTCATAAGTTCACCAATGCCAAAAAGAAAGCAAAGGCTCACAAACTAGAATTAATTAAACGGCAAGATCAAGCAAATCTTAGTTTATTCCTGGACATGTCGGTTTTTAAAGGCTTCCAGTTTTGTGAAACTAATCCATCTTTAATATATGATGTACTAGGGGAAAAGCATTGTGAAAAGCCTAAAGCAATAGAATATGAGAGAGACTTTAGAATGAAACAAATAAAATTTTGTTATGGTTTAAAAAATTTAAATTTCCCTGAACAAGAAGAAATTTTAAAGCATGTATTGAAAAGACTGTTAACATATGATATTTTAGAAAGATATGAGATTCAATTTCTGCTTGATATAGTTGAAACAGAAAGTAAAAGAACAAGTAAGTAATAGTTTAATGGTTAAAAATAAATTGTAACATACCTATTAATTTTTAGATGATCCACAAAGCAGGCTCCTAGATTTTGTAGCCGAAAATTTTTATTTTATTTTTGAGAAGCATGTTATAGCTTTTTGTACAAGAATAATTAAACTTAATAATGATATGGATATCATAGAATACATAGATAAATCAGAGAGTAATGTTTTTGGAAGAATACATACTATTTGTATGGAAAATACTGAGTTTCGTTATAAAATTAAAACGCTAATTAACGAATTATATGTTTATAGTTACTGTAATAATAAAATATTGCAATTGTTGAATTTAATAGATTAAAAGTGCTAAGTTTAATGAGTTGCCTACTTAATTGGAATTCAAAACTATAAAATCTACTCACCCTTGAAAAAATGTCACCAATCATCAGAGCCAATCACCAACCGGTGACAACTTTGACATTGACACTTGACATCAGCAGTGCAAAGATGGCGTCCATCCTGAAATTGTCCCAGTCTGTTGCAAAATTATCGAAAAATAATAATTTAACTAAGGTAATTCTTTATATAAACTTCTAAATTACTAATTAGTATGTCCTCCTTACCATAAATTAAAATACCGGTCGAGACTCATTTTGCGGTACTTATTTTCTTGTTCGGAAAATTACGTAACGATATCTAACCCTCAAAAAATCACATAACATCCGTAAAATTTATTTTAGGTTCTCGCCAGAGCTTCTAGTGCTGCAGCCGAAGCAAAACAAGTATCCGTAAATGTACCTCCAACTAAAGTTACCACACTTAATAACGGTAAGTTAAATTTGTTGTTTTTTGAGTTCTGTGACATTTTGCTATATATAATGAAGAAACTGTATTTTATTCTTTAATGGCTTATATGTACTATACACTTACAGGTATCAGAGTCGCTACAGAAGACTGGGGCTCCCAAACAGCTACAGTAGGTATTTGGATCGATGCCGGAAGTCGATACGAAAATGCCCAAAACAACGGGGTTGCCCACTTTATGGAACACATGGCCTTTAAGGTAGTTACTTATGTTTTATTATTAATTTAATTGTATCTATCTGTTATTTTAGGGTACAGGAAAGCGTACCCAGGGTCAATTGGAAATAGAAATCGAAGATTTAGGAGCACAACTGAATGCTTATACCAGTCGGGAACAAACGGTTTATTATTCAAAATGTTTGTCAAAAGATGTTCCAAAGGTATTCGTTTCTGTTATGTTAAGTGTATGTTATATAACTAATTATATTTTTAGGCTATTGAAATTTTGGCTGACATTGTCCAGAATGCTAAGTTAGGCGAAGCTGAAATCGAAAGAGAACGTGGAGTGATCTTAAGAGAAATGCAAGAAGTTGAATCAAACTTACAGGAGGTTGTGTTTGATCATTTACATGCAGTGGCATATCAGGGAACACCTTTGGCAAATACAATTTTAGGTAACTTAATAATTAGCTTATTCACACTATTTGACATGGAGTATTGTAGCTAATTGTTTAGATCTTTAAGAATTTAAAAACAATTTAAAATTATTTTCTTAAATTTCATTGTAACATCAAAGGCCGAACCTCCAACTGTAATAATAAAACTTATTAAACAATTTTTCAGGACCTACTGCAAATATTCGTTCTATCAGTGACAGAGATTTAAGACATTATTTGGACAACCATTATAAAGCCAGTCGTGTTGTAATAGCAGGCGCTGGTGGAGTGTGTCACGAGGATTTAGTGAAATTGGCCGAAGCTAACCTAGGAAAGCTTAGTAAGTTTAGTTCTTATATCAACAATAAATTCATGATGAAATTTTTTTTATCTTAATATTAAGGGGACGTCCTGTGCTGGAGACACTGATCTGTAAGGCCAATTATGTTTGTCTCCTTTCTATTTATGTATGTACCCACTCTCCTATTTCTGTACCCTGCATAAACTTGTGCAAGTCTTTGATAGGATGGCAGCATATATGTCTGTCCAATGACAAAATTCTTGGCAGTGATAGATGTATCTGTCATTTTCATTTCAAAGTAGTTGATTTTATTTTACAAAAAAAAATAAGTTGGTAAGTGGAAAGCAAAACGGGAAATTGATATAGTTAAAATTTTAGTGACAAGTGATTATTTTAATATACTCTAAAAAATAATTATTTCTTACTTTCAAACTTCCAGAAACTTTCTGCATTTATTATATTTAATTGTAATATTTTATATATATACAGGGTGGTCCGAACTGTATTCCGGAAACTTCGGCAGCATATTCTGCAGATAAAAATAAGTAAAAAAGTTTGTATAAATGTATGTCCTAAAATGCTTAGTTTCAGAGATACAGTGTGTAGAAGTTTCATTTTTATTTCGATTTTTTCCAAATAATTTCTGAAGTAAAGTCAATATTTGGATGATAATTGGTGGATGGGTATTTTTTGACACGACAAATTTGATTTTCATGTCAATATGACTCCTACTTGTAGACGGCGCCACCTACATATTTTTAACTGTTTTGAAGAGTAATAACTTTTCGTCTGTACCTGTATAAAACAACTGAGTAAAAAAATAAGCATTTACAACGTTTTTTTACGTAAAAAATGTCTCTTAGTAAAAATCGCTGCGAGTAATGGTTCTCGTGATATTTCAAATCGAAATTATCAAAAGCTGTCATCTTTGTCATAAATTTAGCATGTTGAATAAATAGTTATTAGGCTGAAATCATAAATTTGAAATGTTTTTGTGCTAAAACTTCTTTATCATCATTTTTTCTCAGAAAATTTTAAGTTTAATTAAAAAAAAAGTTCCCAAATTTATCATTTCAGTCAAATATCTGTCTACTCAACATGCCTATTTTTTGTCAATAATGACATGTATTGACTATTTCCATTCTAAATATCTTGACAACGGTTGTTCGTAGCGACTTTTACCAAGGGACATTTTTTACGTAAAAAATCACAGAAATGTATATTTTTTCACTCAGTAGTTTTATACAGGTACGGACGAAAAGTTATTACTCTCCATAACAGTTAAAACACATGTAGATGGCGCCCTGTACAAATATGAGTCATATTGACATCAAAATCAAATTTCTCATGTCAAAAAACTCCCAGGCACCAATTTTCATCCAAATGCTGAGGTTACTTCAGAAATTATTTGGAAAAAATCGAAATAAAAATGAAATTTCTACACCCTGTATCTCCGAAACTAAGCATTTTAGGGCATAGGGGAGAAGGGGGCTGGTTCGGACATGGGGCACCTCCGGACAATTCAAATTTACCGCCAAATAATAATTCTAGAATAACCAATCCCGGCCAATCACATCAGTGTATCATTAATAGAAGTTGCAAGAAAATTATATTCCGATAAATTGCAAATTGCAAACGTTATATGCCAAAGTGTTGATAAGTCGTTTGTGCTATAAGGTCAACGTGTCTGCTAGTAAGGTCCTGTACCCAAGTTTTGAAAGTCAGGTAAGATTAAATGATTTCACTAGAAAGAGACCTGATTTTTATGTACCTAACCTCACAAAAGTATATTGGTTTCGCATGTTTGTAGATATTGTACTAATAAAATGCAGTCAGGTGCACCTGGGGCAGAATCGGACAATTGATGTGGGGCAGGTTCGGACACTGTCCGAATCTGCCCCATGTTTGTGACAAGGATAAAACGTGAAATTATGGTATTTTCTTGTTTCTTTGTTTATTCTATCGAGTTATACCAGGTTCTAAGGGCTGTAAAAATACTTACCTACATTCCTTTTTATTTGCAGGATGGTGCGAACGTACAAAAAAAAACGACCCAACCGACCAGAAATTCCAAGTAATGTCTTAAAAGACGCAGTACGAAATGTAATCAACAAAACCATGTCTCTAAGAGCTGCTGCCATTACATTCAATATACCGAAATCCACACTCTTCGATAGTGTCGCCAAAGCTAAGAAGAGGCTCAACGATGACGCCAGTGATTCAGGAAATGAGGGTGATGATACAGCAGAACAGGACAGTGTATCAAAATACGCCACACGGCAAGTTTTTTCTCAAAATGAGGAAGCTGAGTTAGAGTTGTATCTCATAAAGTGTTCAAAAATATGTTACGGGTTGACATATAAACTTTGCCGTGAATTGGCTTTTGAATACGCCACTAAGTTGGCTAAAAAATGTCCAAAAAGTTGGGAGATTAACAAAACAGCAGGGATTGACTGGATGCAATCTTTTATGAAACGTCATCCAAGGCTTTCCAACCGCAAACCCGAAAATACAAGCATAGCAAGAGCTTCGGCTTTCAACAAAACTAATGTGGACGAATTCTTCAAAAACTATGCAGAAGTACAGGCTAAATACAGTTTTTCACCTGACCGTATTTGGAATATAGATGAAACAGGTATTACAACTGTTCTCCAAGCACCGAGAGTTATAGCGGAAATAGGTTCCAAAGCAGTTGGACAGTGTGTATCTGCCGAGCGGGGATCTCTAGTCACAATGTGCGGAATAATTTCAGCAGTTGGTGGGTCAATTCCACCTCTTTACATCTTCCCACGTATCAGAATGAAGGATCAGTTTTTGTACGGTGCTGTTCCAGGAGCCGTTGGATTTGCTGAGAAATCTGGATGGATGTCTGCGAATATATTTCTGAAATTGTTAGAGCATATTAAGACACATACAAATTGCAATCCCTTGAATAGGATTCTGATCTTGATGGACAATCATGAGACACACGTCTCCCTAAATGCCATTTTATATGCAAGAGAGCATGGAATTGTATTGCTGTCGTTCCCTCCGCACTGCACCCATCGGATGCAGCCCCTGGACAAGGCAGTGTTTGGTCCTTTCAAAGCCAAGTGTAAGGCATCTTTCAATGACTTCATACTGTCAAACCCTGGTAAACCGATTACCATTTATGATGTTGCTAAGTTGACAGCTCAGCCGTATTTGCAAACATTCACTCCTTATAACATTATTAGTAGTTTTAAGAGCACTGGGTTATGGCCTATCAACTCATTAGCATATACAGATGACGATTTCTGTGCCTCGTTTGCTACAGATCGTCCCGATACAAGCCTTGTTGTTCAGTCCAACTTCAATAATGAAGTGCAAGACCATGATGTGGAAGCAATGGCCAGAAATATTATTGAAGACATTGTAGATGAAGCTACCAAACCAAGGATTAAAATTCTATCCATGGTGACTGTAAAGCCTATTGATGTAAAACCATTACCTAAGGCTTGTCCTCGAAAAACTACCAGGAAATCTAGAGTAGGAAAGTCAAGAATATACACCAGCACTCCTGAAAAGAACAGAATTGATGAATTGGAAAGAATAAGACAGTTGAAGCTGAAAAAAACTGATACTAAGAGAAAACTGGTGTCAGAAATTACAGAAAAGAAAACACAAAATGGCAAATCAAAGAAGAAGAAATATAGGACTAAACGGCAGGTTCTAGATGATATTTCTTCCTCTGATTCTGATACAGACATGCCATCAAATTTCATAGGCAAGAGCTTTAAAAACGATTTATCTGATTCTGACATCGACTTAGATTTTGAAGATAACAATGGCCAGATTAATGAACTTTTGCATGATGAAAAAATCCTTGAGAAGGACTATGTGTTAGTGAAGTTCGCGACAAAAAAACGAGTAGTACATTATGTTGGAAAAGTAGTTGAAGTACTAGGAGACGATGAGTTCCAAGTGACATTCTTGAAGAAGTCACCGCGGGGATTTGTATTTCCACAAATTAAAGATATTTCTACTGTTGAAAGAAAGGATGTTGTGTCAAAGTTGGCTAAACCCTCAGCAACACCAGGAACATCAAGGATGGCATCCTATCTTCAATTTAATGTAAATTTTTTTGGTTACAATGTTCAATAAAATTATAAATACCTACTAATTTTGTATTTTTCTTGTTTAATAATTTTAATTTTGAAAAGGTTCTTAAAAAAATAAACTTGTCCGAAACTGCCCCGGCCACGTCCGAAACTGCCCCATCATGGGGCAACTTCGGACAATTACATAATTTTACAAAACATTTTTTTTTATAAAAAATTATTAAGTGCTTTGATTAGATTTCACAGGACACTATGAAGTGAACATAGCTCTACTCATCATATTTTTTGCAAATCGTTATGTAAGAAATCAATGAATATACAGCAGTTTGAAAAAAGGTGTCCGGACCTGCCCCCTTCTCCCCTACATTTATACGAAGTTTTTTACTTATTTTTATCTGCAGAATATGCTGCCGAAGTTTCCGGAATACAGTTCGGACCACCCTGTATATAATAATAATAAAAATTGTGTGTGCACTACGTGCGCATATTTGAAGTGAAACTTCTTACATCCATCTGTCCGTCTGAGGACTCCATTCGGGTACGTCAAACCACGTGCCGAGTTTGGTTCCAATCGACCCCTAATTAAGAAAAATCCTGAGGATTTCGTCCATTTAGAGGCATCGGTCCGAAACGTCGAGGGCGTTATCCTGTAGCTCGTCCCCAATTATGCCGAAATCGACTCATATGTTTCTTCAGTATCAAATACTTAGTCCCACCCTGATGAAGATGTAAACGAAACGTCGTATCCAACTTTGCAGGGTGGGACGGTGTGCACCGTCGCTCAAATAGCCTACCCACCAAATTTGGTCGCGATCGGACATCAACTTTTGACGTTTCTTATGTCAAATCTAATTGTCACACGTGTCGTACGCGGTCAAGTTGGCCTTGGTCCAATCTATCAACATACCAAATTTCATTTAAATCGGACGATTTTTTTTTATTCATTGGTGATGGGGTTTCGTAGTGCACGAAACGTCGTCAAAACATCATGAAAAGAAGGAGCAATTTCAATAAACCGATAAGACTGGTTAAAAACAAGAGACAGCGCATGACAGATTTATATAAAGTAATCGCAAAACAATTTCCGATGCACGTGATCAATTTTGAATGACAAGCGATAGCGACAGCGCTGCCAGATTGTGATATATTTATGAGATTAATCTTAATGTAAAATTGGAAAACAATATATTTATCATATCATTTTTTAAAGATTTTTACGTTTTATTTTTAATTTAATAATCAATATTTTAGTAATTAATTTATTTATTAACAGTAGTTAAACACTCACAGTAGAAATATTTAAATTGAAGGGAGCAGCTACTCGCTACAAATCGAAATAAGTAGAAATAACTTTGAAAGTTGTATAATGTGCTTATCAATCAAAGTTACTTCTCTGACTGCAGTCAAGGGTAATAAAGGACCTTTATTGCCGCGTTCTCCTTCAAAATAGTTTATCAGGAAAGCTACAAGCTCTTTGCTTCGACCGTTTAAATGCTTCGGCATATTTTCAATACACAATTTCAAGAAATGCAATACAAAAACTCGAGAATTTAGTTCTTAAAAGAACTGTTTGTGCTTAAAAGTACAATTTAAAAAAAAAGACTATGAAAATCGGCAAAAAAGCGAGAATTACTTCCAAAGATTCAACAACAACACGATATTATACAAAATAATGACTGACATTATGATAATTGTCAAATAACAAACGACAACATTGATGATCGCGGCGCAGTGTAACCAACATGGCTATAATAAAAATCGCTTTAAACTAATTTTTGCAGCCTTAATCTAAATAAAATATCGGTTACAATAATTTGTTCTATAAAGTAAAATGAAGAGCTGCTGGGTATCTTAAATTAATAACAAATTTAAAAATGGTTGCCAAAATTTCATTTAGTCAGGTTAATAGCCTTTAATGTCAATTTCGATATGACTGATGATGTGTATCGGAAAATGTTTTGCGATTACCGTAGTAACTATCCATAGTTAACTTAAAAAAATATTAAAAACTTTTAGAGAAATAAATGGATTGCTATGGATGTCATCTGCTTTTTTCTGCCATCGTCTGTCAAAATCTTTCCTGATTCGTAAAACAGTAGGTATAGTTCCTCCTGTTCTATTCTTGCTTCCCAAATAGCAATCTAGAGTCTCGCAGTGACATCTCATCTGCGGCTTCAGGATTTTTATCACTGAGACTCCAGTAAAGACGTCCCGGATACTTCAAGATGATATACAAAGAGTTTCTTTTTTTCCAGACAATACTTATGTAGGAGAAGTACCAAAATTATCTCCTTGCCGATTCACCGGTTCCGAAATTCGGGTCCGTGATGACTCCTTGCCATTGGCTCACGTTGCCATTGCCGTGGAGGGGGCCGGATGGTCTGATCCAGACACCCTAACTTTGATGGTTGCGTCAACTTTATTGGGTGCATGGGATAGGTAAGATTTTAATTCGATTTGTCCAAATTGTCAACTGTTATTAATTTTGTGATATTTATTGAAGGTCTCAGGCATCTGCTAAACAGAACGCTACCAATTTAGCTAGGGTCAGTGCTGAGGAGGATTTGTGCCATTCGTACCAGAGTTTCAACACTTGCTATAAGGTATGCTTTGTGATATTTATATTAGTTTTCTTCTAAAATAACAGCTTAAAATTATTTTAAGATATATGTATCAGGTATATACAGGGTGGTCCGAACTGTATTCCAGAAACTTCGGCAGCATATTCTGCAGATAAAAATAAGTAAGTTTGTATAAATGTATGTTCTAAAATGCTTCGTTTCGGAGCTACAGGGTGTAGAAGTTTTATTTTTATTTCCGTTTTTTCCAAATAATGTCTGAAGTACTTAACGTCAATATTTGGATGAAAATTGGTGTCTGGGAGTTTTTTGACATGAGAAATTTGATTTTGGTGTCACTACGACTCCTATTTATAGGGGGCGCCACCTACATGTGTTTTAATTGTTTTAAAGTGTAATAACTTTTGTCTGTACCTGTATAAAACTATTGACAAAAATAAACATGTTTAGTAGATAGTTATTTGACTGAAATGATAAATTTGGGAACGTTTTATTTTTTTGAATTAATCATAAATTTTTCTTCAAAAAAAATGATAATAAAACAGTTTCTGTTAAACTTTTGGCACAAAAACATTTCAAATTTATGATTTGAGACTAATACCTATTTAGTCAACATGTTTAATTTATGTCAGTGATGACCGGTATTGATCCCAAAAATGAATTTCGATCTCAAATATCTCGAGAACCATTACTCGTAGCGATTTTTATCAAGAGACTTTTTTACGTAAAAAACGTCGTGAATGTATATTTTTTTACTCAGCAGTTTTATACAGGTACGGACGAAAACTTATTACTCTTCACACCAGTTAAAAATATGTATGTGGCGCCCTCTACAAGTAGGAGACATATTGACATTAAAGTCAAATTTTTCATGTCAGAAATCTCCTAGACACCAATTTTCATCATCCAAATATGGATAAAAGTTCAGAAGTTATTTGGAAAAAATCGAAATAAAAATTAAACTTCTACACCCTGCATCCCCCAGACTAAGCATTTTAAGACATACATTTATACGAACTTTTTTACTTATTTTTATCTGCAGAATATGCTTCAAGGGTTTCCGAAATACAGTTCGGTCCACCCTGTAGCGTGTATATTTACATTACATATATTATTAAAGTGTAGAATTTACTTAAATTTCCTTTTATACTAAATAAATTCGTATCTAAAGTATTTAAATCTATACTTAAAGACACTTGGATCCCTTTTATTCTAAGCCCCTCAGTGTATTTAAACCAAACTTGTTGCAATTTCTTTTAGGATACCGGACTTTGGGGAATTTACTTTGTGACTGATCCACTAAAAGCCGAAGACATGGTGTTCAACATTCAGGAAGAATTTGTCAGACTGTGCACTAGTGTTACCGAGGGCGAGGTCGAACGTGCTAAAGCTTTATTAACGGCAAACACTTTGCTACAATTGGACACTTCCACAGCCGTATGTGAAGATATTGGTAAGTGGAAACAAAATTCGTGTTTTATATATTATTTTTTTGTATTTTGTGTGAATTTTGTGATATTTATGTTATTTTTTAGGTCGTCAGCTGTTGTGCTACGGAAGGAGACTTCCCCCTCATGAATTGACACACAGAATTAACTCAATTACTGCCCGAAATGTTCGAGATGTTTGCTACAAATATTTATATGATAGGTAAGTAATTTATTATATGAAACAATCTAAAAATAAAAAGCTCTAGTTGGCAGCGTTGCCAACTAAGAGGATTTCTCCTAGATCTAGCGTTTTTTCTTCAGTTTAAAGGTTAACGGGCGAAGACTTTATTTAGCTGTTAACGGTTTAAATTTTGAAAAATAAATAAGAAAAGTTGACACAAAATAATGTTATTTAAATCTTAAACAATGTATTTTGTTTTTAAATTTGCACCAATAATCGCGTAATTATCATATATTCTTAAAGTACATAGGCCTAGAATCTTTGGAGTTAAAATCCGTCTATTATATGTTGAAAGTCTGCACAAAGTATCATCAGTATCGCTCCTACCGGTTTTTAATATACTAAGCCCACGGCCACACAGAAACATTATAGTGTGTTGTCGTGTTGAGAAATAGTATTTTTTTTACATTGAAAAATATGTCAATATCACAAGTCTAAACTAAGAAAGTAAAAAAAAACGTAAATTTGGAGCAAGAAAAAGAAAACTACGTTCTAATACCCTTATAAAAAATTGGCGCCGGGAGGCACGTATAGCCGCCCATACTAAAATATATGTTAAGAAAAACTTGGTAGGCAGTTCTTTTAGTTTCAAAGTAAAGGAATTTTTCCAATTTTGGTACGCGGTTATTACCCCTATCCGCCACCTGGGGGTCGCGTCCGATGGGAGTCTGGAATTCTCCACAGGGATTTTTTCAAAAACGGACTACGGAATATCTCAAAAACTGCGATTTTGATGTTATTACAAATTTTGTTGCAAATATTATTCCTTAATCCTTATCTTAAATTGAAAACCGCGTTTCGCTAACTACTGTAATTTTGGAGTTACGATTTTTTAAAATTTTTAACCCCCTCCCATACCCCCTTTCCAACACCCCACCCCCACCAAAAACTAATGGCCGGATTCTCGCGTGCCACAGTATTTTTGTGCCAAATTTGGTTAAAATCGGCTTAAGCTTGATTTTCATGCATCCGTTCTCCGACGATACGTTGATACGATATTAATTTTATTGGTAGAATTTAAAGACTTTGATTGGTTAGAAAATAACGCAGTTTTTAAATTTATTGCATTTTTATGCCTCCGTTTATCGGATATACGTTGGTGTCATTTTATATTTTCGTTCCATAACGATTTTGCTATTTTACTTATATTTTTATTAACTATTGGGTTTTCATTATTTTTATTTGGTTTAAAAAAAACGTTTCGGCTAACTATAGCCTTCACAGTGTTGTGTCATATGAGAAAAATAGTGTCGAATATAATCCAAAAAATTACATATACAATATAATTCACACCTCATAATGTTTACTGCAATTAATAAACTAATATAAACTTATCAAGAGATGACCACATATTTTTTAAAATTATTATTCTTAACACTAAAATTGTACGCAGTAAACATTATGTGCGTGGTGTGAATATTTTATATGCAATTTTTTGGATTATATTCGACACTATTTTTTTCATATGACACAACACTGATGGAGGCTATAATGTTAGCCGAACCGTTTTTTTTAAACCAAATAAAAATAATGAAAAACCAAATGAAAAATCAATCAGCGTTTTTCCCGAACCTAAATTCCAAGAAAATCAAAAAATTTAGAATATTTAGAATCAAGGTTCAAAAGAATATCAAATTTTCCAAGATTGTAAAATTCTAGTTAATTATTTTATGTGTACAGTTATTTAGGGAATGTCATCGATGTTCATTTCAAACCAACTAGACGCCGATTTTTTCGATGATACGGTATAATTCTTACGTAAAATGTAAATAACATTAGACCAATTAAAACAAAGAAATATGAATTTCTTAGTATTTTTAGTAACACCTTTATTCTTAAAACTTAATTTTGTATTATGCAAATATACCAATTTTATTGTTATTTTATTTATATTGTATTCAGCCATCACTTAAATATTTGATATTAATTTGGTATTATAAATAATCAATACTATTCATTAAAAATTACTGAACAAATATTGTTATGCTTAACATACATTATATATTATCAAACAAAAACACATTCTTCTTTTAAACTGTATCAGTCTTGTCTTTACAAAATCTTTTTAAAATTTGAACTCAAAATAATAATCTTTTTCATGATCTCTAATACACATATTCTTTATTTTTCCCTAGTTCATAATACCTACTTACGTGTTTGAATCTATCGAAGCTAAACCAGCAACACTTGAGTGGAGATTCCACAATATGAATAAAATAAACATAATTGTCCAGTTTTCATTAATACCATCATGGGAGAATATTATTTTAAATTTATTAAAGATATTTTCAATAAAATTCTCTTGATTAACTTCGTACCCACTTTTCTTGCTCTTCCGGACACTTTAGGCTGCCTAGTATAATAACTATCCTTTCCACCAGGAACACAACAAAGATGAGGCATAGCACCAATAACACACTCCACTTAAGCTTTATTGATGAATTGTTAGAGTCTTAAAAACACACGCAAAAAATCACGATAAGTAAAAATGTATGGGCACTTTTAGGTTAAATCACTTGCACAACGTGTAATTTTTAAAATTTCTATTTTTTTATGCGAAACCGAGAGTGACCATATATCTGGTAGTAGTTTATGTCACTTCAACACCAAAATAATTAGTTTTTTGCACTACAATAATAAATAATACCAAAAATCAAAGAGTTAAAACCAAAAATCAACCGACAAAATATGAAACAGAATCTAACCCAATATCTAAGTATGTACAGCTGATGAAGTAAACAAAAGTCCGCCCGTAGGCTGATCTTTTAATAGAAGGCACTGGTTAGATTAAATTTGTCAAAACGTCCGTTATCGTATGAACGGGTCCGTTGACGGGCTGAAGTAAAATATTTACGGATGAAAAGTGGCGCGAAAATGCTATGACCAATCGGAGCACCGTCGGACCATCGTGTCAACGTATAACGGATGCATGAAAATCAAGCTTTAAGCCGGAGTCTCATGCATCCGAAATCTGATGGTACGACATCCGAAATTTGAAGTTATCCTGTGAAATAAAAAAAGCCTGTCACATACATCCGAAAGTTCGTTCCGAAATTTGACAGTTTTGACATTTTTCTGCTGCACTGAATAGAGATTCATGTCATGTTTTATTGGAGAAACACTTATAAAAATAACTTCCTCGCCAAATATCCCGAAATTGCCCACTTCCCACTAAAAACTTGTTTTTAAAAACAAATGTTTTCAAAAAAAGTGAGGTTAAAAAACACACGATATCGTACAAAAGTTAAACAAAATTTAACTTTATACGACGTCGGACGATTAGTTAAAATTATCGGATAAAAATTGGTGTCAAAATATTTCGGCCAATAGGAGCACCGTCGGATCGTCGTGTCATCGGATTTCGGATGCATGAGACTCCGACTTTAACGGTTTTTTAAGTTATCGTGTTACAGACGGACAGACAGACAGACAGAGACCATGAAAATATTTTGTATACTACCATACCTGTTGGTATGGTCGGCTAAAAATATACATACCACTTATTAATAAATTTATTTTATTGCTAGGTGCCCAGCTGTAGCTGCTGTAGGTCCAGTTGAAGGAGTACCAGACTACAACAGGATTCGTGCGGCCATGTACTGGTTGCGTGTCTGAATTGTTATAATATAAAAAACAGCAACAAGTAATTTCCATTTGTTTAATCAAAACTCTTAATTTGTCACCTATTATATATTCGAAAATTTGTCAGAGCCGTGATGAAGAATTTATTTTAAAACAGTATGTATATACCACAAAGATTATGTTGATTTTTAATAAAAAATTTCTTTTTTTAAATCCCTTGTTTCAATGAGTTATAACAACTAAAGTCTGTCAAATGAGCCAGCGAAGATTTCGACAAACGACATCCAAAAAATGGCACAAAATACAATTTACCTGAGAGTTAAAATGACAGAGACATCATCGTCACGTATCAGAATAGACTATAGCACAGAATGACCTGAGTAAAGTCTGTCCAATCAGTCAAAGAACATTTTGACAGATGACAGACATCTGTTACTGTCAAAAAACTTGATAACAGGTATGATAAAATGTAAGGTAAAGCGCCATTAAAGAACAAAGAAGAGTATATATGTACCAAGTAAATGGCATCAAGGTTTTCACCTCGACAAAATTATCACCAATTGTCATTCCCCAGCCGTCTATGACGCCTTTTTTTCGATTGTATGGTATATTTTAACAATTATCCTGGTTTTAAAGACAATTCTCCAAAAAAATCCTTTATGGGTATTTCGCCACTGCACTGCAAGAAAATCTACAAAATAAAATAGTTATTTTTTGTAAACACTTCTGCGTTAAACTTAAACGGACACGATTGTCAGAAGTTATGTTTACAGTTATAAAATTTTGCCTCTTCTTCTTCGGGTTCCATCTCCTAATGGAGGTTGGAAATCATCATGGCAATTCTAACTTTGTTAACGGCTGCTCTGAATAACTCGTTTGAAGTCATTCCAAACCATTCTCTCAAATTCTTGAGCCATGATGTTCTTCTTCTTCCTTGGCTCCTTCTGCCCTTTATCTTTCCTTCTATTATGTTCTGCAGCAGGGCATATTTAGGTCCTCTCATTATGTGTCCAAAGTACTCAAGTTTTCTCTTTTTAAGGGTGTTAATCACCTCTTCGTCCTCTCTTCTGAATTCTGCGTCGCAGTTCTACATTTGTAACCTTGTCAGTCCATGCAATCCTCAGCATACGCCGATAACACCATCTTTCGAATGCCTCAAGCTTCTCCATTTCGGCCTTTTTAAGTGTCCAAGCCTCTGAACCATAGAGTAGAGTTGCAAATATGTAACCTCTTAGCATTCTTAATCTAAGCTTTAAGTTGATGTTTCCACTGCAGAGACATTTTATGAGTTTTACAAAGACTGCTCTGGCTATTTCTATTCGAGCTTTTATTTTTGCTGATTGATCCAAGTTTTCGGTCAACCAACTGCCTAGATATTTATATTTTTGTACTCTCTCCATGGTCCATAGGTGTATCATCTATTAGAACATTGGTTTGGACATCTTCTCTCTTAGTGATGATCATAAATTTAGTTTTCTGAGGGTTCATTTTCAGGCCATAGACTCTATACGTGTTGTTTATGTTTAGTCTTTGTAGAAGCGTTTGCAGACCCTCCACGTTGTCTGCTATAAGGACGTTATCGTCCGCGAACCGCATATTATTTAAGACCTGCCCATTAATAGTGCCCCTTTCTACTAGTCGAGGCCTCCCGAAAAATTGATTCGCTATATTTATTAAACAATAGTGGAGAAAGTATACATCCTTGACGAACGCCGCTCAGAATCTTTACTTCATCAGAAAGTTGGTCGTCCACTATAACCTTCGCTGTTTGCCTCCAATAAAGATTTGCTATTATCCTGATATCTCGGCTATCGATATTCATGCCTTTAAGTATTTCAATTAGTCTATGATGTTGAACTTTATCGAAAGCCTTCTCAAAATCTATAAAACACATATACAGGTCTTGATTCATATCAATACACCTCTGTGCTAACACATTTATGCTAAACAGAGCCTCCCTCGTACCCATGCCTCTTCTAAACCCTACTTGTTTATCACTGATTTCTGAGTCCACCTTAGCAAAAATTCTATTATAAATAATTCTCAAAAACACTTTCAGTGTGTGACTCATCAGGGCAATTGTTCGATGGTCGGAACATTCTTTGGCATTGGGTTTCTTGGGCAACGGTACAAAACTAGACATAAACTAATCCTTTGGTATAATGCCCGTAGTGTAAGATATTTGCCTAACAAAGAAAAAATGCTTAACGTTTCGGAAAGTCTATCTTTAATTTTTTTTATTTTTACTTTCCGAAACGTTAAGCATTTTTTTTCTTTATTAGACAAATTTTTATAACTGCAAATAACTTCTGACAAGCAGTGTCCGTTTAGGTTTAACGCAGAAGTGTTTACAAAAAATAACTATTTTATTTTGTAGATTTTCTTGCAGTGCAGTGGCGAAATACCCATAAAGGATTTTTTTGGAGAGATGATGAATCCGCCACATAGGTATAGATATTTTTGATATACAATTATTTATACATTTATATAAATTCGTAATATATTTTACTTAGCGGGACGCTAATATTACTTCTACAGGGTGTCTCAAAAAACAACCAGGATACAATATAAAATTAAATGAAGATTGTTTATACATATTTGGTAAAACTCTGGATTTAAAATGGCAGGGTTGGTATAACTTTCAAAATATAAAAATGTCCATAATTTTGAAAATCATTTATTTACGAAAAGAATTTCACTATATTAATCCCTTTAGTAATTCGAGATTCTTCACACTGAAATGTACACTTATAAATGAAACTAAAACTAAATATTAGTCCACCACAAAACGAATCTATCAGAGATCATTTCTTATACATAAATACTCTAATGCACTGTAATTATGACATTAATTGAACATTAAATAAAAAAAAATCCTAATTCTGTAAAGATAATCATAGAGCATTCCTAAGGTATGCCTATATGTCGAACTACATAGAAGAAAAATGATCCCCTACACAATTAAATATAAACATATGCAAATTTTATTGAAATCGGAACAATAGAGAATCCTAGAATTACTGCAAAATGTCTAGGATTTTCGAGATATTTTTTTATTTTTAATTTATTCATCTTCATCTTCGCCGGCGTCATTGTCGTCTGCGTCTTCCTCTGAAGATTTTCCCTCATCGACGTTCTTTTTCTTTGGTCGGCCACGGCGACCTGAAATCGGGAAAAATTTAGCCGATTTCCGAATAAAAAGATTAAGGTAGGAGAATGAAAATAGTTAATAAAATGAATTTAAGAAGTTAAAACATTAAAGTGCAGTTTTTGGTACTAACCTACGCCACCTTTTGCGGCCGACTTAGCTTTAGCAGGAGACTTCTTTTTGGTCGTTCCCTTTGGTCGGCCTCTGCCTCGTTTGGTGGGGGAGGCGCTGTCGGATTCACCTTCGGTATCATTTTTCACTGCCTCCTATTACATAATACCCAAAATTACATTCAAGATAAATATAATATTTTTACTACTTTAAAGATAGGTAATTATTGGAAAAACTGGAAATCGTCCGATTTTCATCAAAATTGGTATACACACTATTTTGAGGTCGTAGATTACGAATCTGAACTTCTTTCTTGGCGGTCTCTTACCGTTTTTCAGAAAAACGGAAAATTATTTCAACATTGAATTTTTCTTTATTTCGGCCCTATAAAGTAATAATTTCACTATATTATAGTTTATCTCAAAAAGCCACACTTGATTGGGGATAGAAAAATGTCAAAATTTTTACTGAAAAACACTTTTCTTAACTAAATAACAAACAAAATTAAGACCAGATGGAAGTTTGACATTTGATAGATCCCTCTTTCTCTCTCCTATGTAATGAGAGAGACAAATATATTCTAGACCTAATCTACAAATTTGAAAATTTACAACGTTGCTACTTCTATTTTTTCGGGTGATTAGGGATTTTAAATAAATTACCTATTATGAGATCTGACAATAATTAAATATACCTACCTATATCCACAAAATTACGCGGAAGAGTTTTGATTGCATTGGTTTCAACTTCTATGCGGAGGGGGGTAATCTTTTTTTTTGTTATATATTTATAACCACAAAGTTGCACGAAAGAGTTTTGATTGCATTGGTTACAACTTCCATGCGGAGGGTGTTAATCTTTTGTTGTTATATTATCAAAAAAAGATTAACCCCCTCCGCAAAGAAGTTATATAAAGACTATTTATAACCACGAAGTTGCACGAAAGAGTTTTGATTGCATTGGTTTCAACTTCTTTGCGGAGGGGGTTAATCTTTTTTGATATAATATAACAACAAAAGATTAACACCATCCGCATGGAAGTTGTAACCAATGCAATCAAAATCTTTCGTGCAACTTCGTGGTTATAAATAGTCAGATCTCGTTGGTAAAAACAGTTATGGGAAGGAGCCGTTCTTCTGGCGACCGCCTTTCGTAATCCCAGAATGAGCGAAAAAAACACCCTAAATTTAGGTTTAGCATTGGCAACGTTGCTTTAAATAAACATTTTGAGATTGTTTACAAATTTATTTAAGTAAATTTTCCTCTATTATGCATAGAATCGGTTAAAAAAGTAACAGAAAATAGCAATAACATCATTGTTTATTGAATACCTAACAAAATATGTGCCAGAAAACCTTAAAAATATGAGAAATTAAGAAAAATTAGATGTTAAATAATTTTTCGCCAAGAAAAAATTCGTAATCTACGATCTCAAAATAGGGTGTATACCAATTTTGGTGAAAATCTGACAATTTCCAGTTTTCCCAATAATTACCTAAAGATATAACACCTTAATAATAATAAAACACCATACTATCGAGAAAAAAAAACGGAGCAAAGACGGCTGGGGTATAACAATCGATGATAATTTTGGCGAGGTCAAGCTCTAGAAGTCATTGCCCGGCCCGTACTCTTCTAAATTTTTTAATGGCGCTTTCTGCCAGTTGGCCTTAAGAAGGTTGTTATTTATTTTTATATTGAGTAAATATGATTTTTAAATGGTACATAGGTATAGACCTTTTTTAATTGGTGTAGTTTAAAATTCAAAAAAAAAAAATTTTTTTTTGTAAATCTTACGTATACTTTTTTAATATTTCTACAATTAGTGTTAATTTTTGACAAGATTTTTTGTTAATTTTAGTAAATGATGCCTAGAAATTGATCTCGCCAAAATTATCATCGATTGCCATTCCCCAGCCGTCTTTGACGCCGTTTTTTTCGATATTACGGGAAAATATTTTCTACTTTAAAGGTATTATACAGGGTGGTCCGAACTGTATTCCGGAAACTTCGGCATCATATTCTGCAGATAAAAATAAGTTAAAAATAAGCTCGTATAAATGTATGTCCTAAAATTCTAAGTTTCGGAAGTACAGGGTGTAGAAATTTCATTTTTTTTTCGATTTTTTTCAAATAATTTCTGTCTAAGTAACGTCAATATTTCGATGAAAATTGGTGTCTGGAAGTTTTTTGACATGAGAAATTTGATTTTGATGTCAATATGACTCCTACTTGTGGAGGACGCCACCTGCGTCTTTTTTTTAATTCGTTTCAAGAGTAATAACTGTTCTTCCGAACGAGTAAAAAAATATACATTTGCGACATTTTTATCTCATTTATATTATCGAGATATTTGGAATCGAAATTATCAATACCTGTCGTCATTGACATAAATTAAACATGATGATTAATAGTTATTAGACTGAAATCATATATTTGAAATGTTTTTGTGCCAAAAGTGCAAAAACTGTTTTATCAACATTTTTTCAAAGAAAAGTATAGGTATGATTAATTTAAAAAAAATAAAAAGTTCCCAAATTTATCATTTCAGTCAAATAACCGAAATAACTATCTACACGACATGTTTATTTTTTGTCAGTAATTCTAAATATCTTCAGAACGGTTGCTCGTAGCAACAGTTTGATACAGGTACGGACGAAAAGTTATTACTCTTCAAAACAGTTAAAATACATGTTGGTGGCGCCCCCTACAAACAGGAGTCATATTGACATTAAAATCAAATTTCTCAAGTCAAAAAACTCCCAGACTCCAAATTTCATCCAAATATTGATGTTAGTTCAGAAATTATTTGGAAAAAATCGAAATAAATATGAAATTTCTACCCACTGTATCTCCAAAACTAAGCATTTTAGGATATACATTTATACCAACTTTTTTACTTTATCTGCGGAATATGCTGGCAAAGTTTCCGGAATACAGTTCGGACTACCCTGTATGATACATTTATAATAAGGTATTACCTTATTTATAATAAGGTAAATACCCTAGATCATATATACTTACGTGGATAAACACAACGCTATAAGTTTAGCATTAAAAAATATGTCTCCAACATCACGACATGCCATTTTCAAACCTTTATTGCATTTATAAAACGTTCAATAGGTTTGTCTTTCTCGACGACCTTCCTTTGCGCATGCGTATTAAAATTTGCACCATAAATGGAAGTCGTTGATATGTTTGCGACAGTTTCCATAGTGATTTACTTATCCACGCACTGCCGTTCTTTAAAAGATCAGCCTGGGGGCGGACTTTTGTTTACTTCATCAGCTGTACATACTTAGATATTGGGTTAGATTCCGTTTCATATTTTGTTGGTTGATTTTTGGTTTTAACTCTTTGATTTTTGGTATTATTTATTATTGTAGTGCAAAAAACTAATTATTTTGGTGTTGCAAAATTTTCTCCTATCATTTATCCGACGCATGCGTATTACCGTTATAACCCTAGATCATATTATGATCTAGGGTAAATAAATACCAACAGTTTTTGTTTAATTTTTTTTTACCTTTTTTGTACGTTTTCTTGATTCCGGTTTTTCTACTACTTTTTCTGCTGCCGGCTTTCTGCCCCTTTTATTTGTTGTAACTGCTTCGTCAGACATTTTCGGTTATATTTGGTAATCTCCAACTGAAATTAAGAAATTACGTCATTTATGAATAAGAAAAAACAATTTTTTTTCAAAATACGCGAAATTTCTCAAAAATTATTTCGGGCACTTCCAATATAGGCTAGTAAGCGAGGGTTTTAGGTTTTAAGGCCGAACTCTGAACAACTGCACCGATTGACGTGAAATTTTAACAGTGAATAGAGATATATGTAAGAAACAAATGTTACATAGTAGCGATGTATGCTTGTGCACTCTGGGGGTGAGTGCCACCCCTTCTCGGAGGTGAAAAATAAATCACCCATTTTAATTGCAAAAATCAATAAAGGGATGAATTCTGAGCAAAAAATGTTCTAAAAGATTTTTTTCAGAAAATTAATATTTTCCGAGTTATTTAGGATTGAAAATATTGATTTTTCATCTAAAAACTGAATTTTTTTTTCTGTTATTTTTTATAAATAACTCGAAACCCTTGCGTTTTATCGGAAAACTCATATATTTTATTTTAAGTCTATAGCACAAACAGTTCTTTTAAAAACTAAATTTTCGAGTTTTTATATTGCATTTCTTGAAATTGTGTGTAGAAAATATGGCCGAAGCATTTAAACAGTCGAAGCAAAGAGCTTGTCGCTTCTCTGATAAACAATTTGAACGAGAATGTGACAACAAAGCTCCTTTATTACCCTTGACAGCAGTCAGAGAAGTAAGTTTGATTGATAAGCACATTATACCACTTTCAAAGTTAGTTTTTATTAAATTTTGTGATTATTAGTTAGTGCATTAATAGCATCCTCTTACTTGTTATTACCACTTATGGCGTTGTAAGATGTACAGGGTGGGTCAAATTCGACGCTTTTAAATGGAAACACCCTTTTCTATAGGAGATAGACTAAAACTAATATCGGTGTTCGGATCTCAATTTTTGTCAAAAACATGATGGTGAAACCGGCATATCGATATCTGTTACCGTTTCGGAGTTACGGGGTGTTTTTCAAAAATATGCATTTTTAACAAATCGCTGTAACTTTTTTGCTATGAAAAATTTTGTATTTTTATGAAAACATTTCCAAAGCACCTTTTTACGTAGAATTTAATGGTTTAAGTATAATTTTTTTAGAATTAATAATTTAAGAATTATCAACAGAAAATTCTATTTTTTATATGGAACACCCTGTATATTTTTAATTTATTGAAAATAATTTAAAATTACCTTTCCAAAAATATAATACACTTGATATCTTGCTCGATTCCTCTTCGAGATAGAGAGTATATAAAAATTCGCCCGCTTTAAATCAGTAGGCTTTGAACGGCACCGGCTCTAATGCAAAAAAAATCTAGCTGTGAGCATCAATTAAAACGAAAATAATATTTGCTATGAGAGATGCAGAATTTTATAACAATTTAAAGTATATTTAACCAACATTAACATATTTAAACTATATCTAATAACAATAAAAATAAATAGCAAACCAAGACATGAGATTTTGCTACAGGTGTTCGACATATCAACCGTCTTCTGTTATGGACAGACAGGGCAGTTTTTGAACATTTCTCGCGGAATTCATTAACTCAGTGGGCGTGAAAGATACCTTCTCATAACTGCTAAGTATTTCTAATTCTTGTCTAGATTATACGGAAGAATAAGGAACCTTTATTTTTCCGCAAATATATAGATAGGATTAGATCCATGGGCACTAAGTCAGGCGGCCTCGACGGCCAAGGGCTGGAATCTTGGTTGGCTATTCAATTATTCTTGAAATTGAATGCAAAAATTTGCTGATAACTTCAGCGATCAAAGGCGGTGTGTCGTCTTGCTGGAAAAATATGTTTTCGAGTCCCATTAAGGTCATATCATCAATAAAGGATCCAAAGCCTACTAGTTAAAAGTGGCGAACTTTTAAAAATTCTGTATTTCGAAGGGGATTATAACAAAATATCAAGTGTGCTATATTTTTGGAAAGGTAATTTTAAATTCTTTTCAGTTAATTAAAAATATAGAGGGTGTAAAAAATAAAAAATCAATTTTTCTGTTGATAACTCTTAAATTATTAATTTTAAAAAAATTATACTTAAACCATTAAATTCTAGGTAAAAAGGTGCTTTGGAAATGTTTTTATAGAAATACAAAATTTTCGATAGCAAAAAAGTTACAGCGATTTGTTAAAAATGCACATTTTTGAAAAACACCCCGTAACCCCGAAACGGTAACAGATATTGATGTGCGGTTTTCACCATCATGTTTTTGATGAAAATTGAGCTCCAGACACCGATATTAGTTTTCCTCTATCTCCTATAGAAAAGGGTGTTTCCATTTAAAAGCGTCGAATTTGACCCACCCTGTACATACATCAATAAATGAATAAATAAATAACCCGATAATAACGCTTAGATCTTCATAATCAGGGGCGGATACAGAAATTTATTTTAGGTGGGGGGGCCTAAAATAAATTCCTGTCATTTTTAACCCAAAAGCTTAATATTTAACCCAATTTACAGATGTTAGGGCTGGGGGGCCCGGGCCCCCCTCTGTATCCGCCACTGTTCATAATGGACTAGTTTTAGCAAAGGTTTTAGCCAATATGTAATAAGTAAAATAAGCTATAAAAGAAATAAATCAATTAATTACTAAAATATTAGTTATTAAATTAAAAATAAAACGTAAAACTCTTTAAAAAATATATAATAAATATATTGTTTGTCAATTTTAAATTAAGATTCATCTCATAAATCCATCACAATCTGGCAGCGCTGTCGCCATCGCTTGTCACTCAAAAGTTGGGCAAATATTTTTAGGGCTGGTCTTTGGCCTGGTGGATATCTCGATAAAATAAACCATAGAGAAAGAAACATATTTTATATTTACCGTTTTTCAAATAAGTCCAAAATAACCGAGTTGTTTTATTTTGAAAATTTAAAACTACTGAATAATTTTGCTACAAATTGTTTAAAAAATTATAAAAATCGGCCCACTAAAACAAGACATTGACGACATATTAATCTTTAAAATATACCTATGAACATATTTTAAGTTGTCCGTTTTTCGTGTCACAATCATTATAATAGGTATAAGAAGTAGATAAGAAGTTTAAAAATCAGTTAAAAGATAGTTTTATATAATATGCAAAAAAAACGACGTCAGCGATGGCTTTGAAATGAATACAGCTGCCATTTTATATTATGTGACATTATATGGGGAATGACATCGATCGTCGTTTCAAAGCAAACTGGAAGCCGTTATTTTTCGATCATATACCTACGGTATTTACTATGTTATATATTTTCTCCAATAGGTTTTTAATCATAAAAAGTTCATCAAAACAAAACAATAATTAGGTTATCACGATAAAATTTTATATTTGTTTACCAAACGCCATCTTGAGCAGAGCTCACTCGCTTGATCATGATTAAACCAGTTTAGCGGTAATTAATCATAAGTTGATGTCAAACGTTTGACCAACGATTTATTGATCTTTTAGGAAAATAATTAAAACTGGGGTTTACCAAAACTGGATAGAGTTTATTTAAAAATATTGTTTATATTTTTATTGAGTAATTGAACTGAGAAAGAGAAAATATGGCCACATACTTCGATAATGACTCGCCATTTTGTGAATCAAACATATCAAAAGTGAACTTATACTACATACATAGGTAAATAGACCAATCTTGGCTTCTCAAAATAGAAAATCAATATTATAAAGCTGACAATATAATCTACGCCCTGGTCTATGTAATCAACCTATTTCTGTACTAATTAAACATTGTTAATATAAACATTAATAATTTTTTCATTGTAGTAAATAAACAAACATGAATATAAAAATAAGATAAACACAAAAAAACACTTAAAACTAAAAATAAAACGTGATATTAACAATATTGCCAGCTAAAGAAAATAAATATAAAAGTAATAAAACTGTTATAGTATTCAAATAAGACATAATCCGCGCGCGCCACACTCAAAATAATATAATATTAAAATTTAAGACAACACCCAAATATTTTTCGAGTGAAATACACCCTTTTCCAAGGAAAACATTATTTTATATTAATCTACAAAAAATAATCTAAATCCTCGTACAAGAATCATGAATTTAGGACGCGTACATCCAGAGAAATTAATTTTCGAAATTGCACACTCGCCACACCGGACTGCTTGAGGCGAAAACCGAGGTAGCCATGCCAGAAATTTATCGAATAAAATATCCTTCGGAAATTAATTGCTCGGCAACGAGATAACGGATTTCCATAACGCCCGAACAGGAAATTCGAAGAAAAAAACTAATATTTTATAATATTTTCGTGCAATTGGAGAAAAAATCCGCCAAATTTATAAAAATTATTGAAGAGATAAATAAAAGCAACTTACCGAACAAACACACACCAGCTTTGGCCGGTAGTTTCCCAAGCGTTCCACCGCGGCGCTGGGGTAGCGCGCCAAAAGCGTCGAGCCAATCAGCGAGTTCTATTTTTAGGATGCGATTAGCTGTCTCTTTTTATCGGAACAACCGCCGCAATTTAAATTCTTTTTTAGGAACGATTTCCTATATTTTTTTATTTATTTTTGTGATAACTTAACAAACTATTTGATAATCGTATTGTATTGCATTAACGTCGAAAAAAAAATGATATTGTCGAAATTTATAATCTATGACAAAAAATCAATGTCGATTATGTAACAGAAATGTAGAAATGGGGTGCACCAGGGTAATTAATTATAACTTATCGAAATAGTTAAATTATAGATGTAACAAATTAATAATTCATGTTCTATGATCATATTCACATAATAAAACATATTTTAGATAACATTAAAACATGTTTTGAAAAATACTTTTCATCTATGGGTCCAAACCAGCTACAAGTATTTTATTAGTGCACCATGCACCAGTGACAGTTGTGTCTGTCATTTTAATTCTGCAGTAAATGGTTTCTCTGTCATTTTTTGGACGTCTTCTGTCAAAATCTTTCCTAGACTCGTAGGATAAACCTTATATAAATTCGGTGTGCAAAAGAATAATGTATGGATTGTAAGGTTATCTGTTGAATAATGTTTAATAAACTGAGGCTTCGAAGAGAGCTTTTTACAATTCAAAGATGCAAACGTAAGTTTTCTGATAAACAAGACGGTCCCGTTAACTCAAAAAGTGCCATAGAAAGTGAGACTTCCACAAAGAGTGAATCAAATCAGTCCGCCAAAGATGATGTAGTTTGGAGAACTCCGCAGCATAATAAACAAAAATCTGGTCTGCCAGTATTAGGAACCTTCTACAAAAAAGAGGCTAGTTTAAACCTCTTGAAATTGGCACAAACCCCAGTCAGATTAAGTACCCTAAAGAAATGGTGGATGAATAGTAACGAGCACAAAGAAGTATATCTCCAACATTATATACCGGAGCGTCATCAAATATTAGGGCCAGAGTTAGCTGCAGCCCATTTTATAGTATATAGAGGAGGCTCAGTAAAATTTCACGGACAAGAGGAATGGATTAAAGCCGATAATGGAAAATATGAATTACCCTCCATGTATCAAGAGATGTATTTAGAAAGGATGGACTGCACGGATATGAACTTACACTATGAAGGTTTAGAAAACCTGAGAGGCTTAAAAGATTTACAGTGGCTTAGTTTAAATGGAAATAAATATATCGATGACTTTTGCATGGATGTGATAGCTAATATTTTTTCTCATAGCCTCATATATTTAGATCTTCGAAATTGTTTCAATATATCAGAAAGGGGTATAGGTGCTTTATTTAAAATGAAGAAACTGAAAGTATTATATCTGGACGATTTACTGAAAGATACGCGATATGAGTTAACGTGTATGCTTTTACAAGATTTGAATCCTGTATTAAATATAAAAAGTGATGTAATTAGTTTTGAGATTAAATAAATAGATGAATAGAAATATATATAAAAATGTTTCATTTATTAATTCAATCTATATACCTAAATAACTAAATATTAACTTTTATTTAAAAGAGAAGCCGTAAAAAAAGCGAATTCGTTGGGCAACCAGTAATCCACTATAACGATTAAAAAGGAACGGTTTCTATAGTAGTTTGTAACCTCCCGCCACCAGATGCCGCCACTGCTGAATTCTTTTCCAATCCTGGCTGTCTGACTAACCCTGGAAACAGTGGAAACTCGCCCAAATTTTAAAGCCTTTTAGTAATTATATTGATTTTTTTCAAGAAACTATTTCCTAACCCGTTTTCTGGCTTTAGTTTTGCGTAAAAAATCCACAACGGGTCGAGACAGTGCGTGCGCGAGCCCCGTTTTAGCGATAAAATCATTTTTGTGTTAATTTCTATCCAGACACAATTTCTAGGAGTTCGAATCGGCCGGTCCAGACTGGCCAGTAAGGTGAGTTATTTCTAGGCTTTCTGTATATTTTGAGACAGACCGGAGGTGATATTTGTTAATTAATCGTCGGAGATTTGTTTATACTATGTCGGACAAACGGTTTCCGGTGAATACCGGTAAAAAAAATTCGCAAATTTGTTCAAAAAGTTCATTTGAAATTCTAACCTGTAAACTGGGATATAGGTGGGCAGGCATTATTAGAAGGGTCCTATGCTAGCCTATTTTATTTTTAATAGAGTTAATCATGTAAAATTATTGTTAATGAATAAGGTAACTAAAGAATTGCAATTAAATAAGCATACTGTTTGAATTCTGTTAAGCACTAGATTCAAGACAATTCTAAAATAAAGTTTTACCTTATTGGAGTTAGCCTATAGGTACATGGTTTAGAATTATATTATAGTTTAGATCCAGTAAAGACGTACCTATAGGTAGGTGTTTAATTTCAAATCAAAGTTCAAGCCAAAGCTTTTCAAATGTTTTATCACTGGGTTATTGAATTAACTAGTGTTATTGAACTATAGGGCACATTACTAGGGAAAAATACCTATAAATTCTAGCACATATTCCCAAAAACATTTTTGAGCCAAAAACTGACGTTTTAACCTCACTTTAAAAGGCCCTTTGCCCTTTAATAAGTTAGTAGAAAGATACATAAAGGATAATAAAGGTATAGAAGCCTGTTTTACATTGTTACCCTTGAAGGAAGATTTATTTTTAAACAGTGGCGGATTAAGACATATTTGCGCCCTAGGCTAATAAAAATTTGACCCCTCCTTATCGAACCTCTACACCCCACAGTCAATCCCACAGGTCAATCCGTTTGCCACTTAAACGTCAAGCAGTTTAAGCAGAATCGTGATTACTCGATGGTCATATTTTATGAAACACCCTGTATAAATTTATAAAAAATCTTAAAATATGTAAAACAACAAAATAAAATATACGTGTTTAAGAGTTTTTCTGAAAAACTCACTGGTTTTTAAATAAAAAATATTTTAATATTTCAGGTATAGTTTCACCCCCTTGGAATTCGAGTTTCGAAAAATCCCTTCTTATCGAACCTGTACACCCTAAAGTCAATCTGTTTTCCAAAAATCAGCTTGTTACGTCAAGCGCTTTAAGCAGGATCGTGAATAATCAATGACCAGATTTTTCGAAACACCCTGTATACATTTTTAAAAAATCTTAAAATATGTAAAAAACAAAATAAAATATACGTGTTTAAACGTTTTTTCGGAAACTTGACCGTTTTTTAAAGAAAAAATATTGTAATAATTGAGGGGTGGTTTCACCCTCTTGAAACTGGAATTTCGAAAAATCCCTTCTTATCGAACCTCTACACCCTAGAATCAACCTGTATGCCAAAATTGAGCTTCTTACTTCTTAGTGGTTTGAGCAGGATCGTGATTAATCAGCATGTCAGTCACTTAAGGATTTTATATATTAGTATAGATAATAATTTATTTTTGTTTTCTAAAATATTTTGATTAAAAGAAAATATATAAAAATGGGCAACGCTTAATCATGTGACTAAAAGTTTATTTGGTATGAACTGTAGATAGTTTTCTAAGTTTACTACTACTAATACAAATCATTTTAAGAAATTCCATGCTTTTTGTCCCTTTATCCTTAAAAAAGCATGTTCAACTTAGTCTTTTTTATAGTTTTCAAAGATCGCGATTTCCCCCGATAATGGAATAATAATTAGGGTTGCCAGGGACATATATACAAAATAAGTGTAAAAAGTAAAGACGTTACCCGTTACCCTTTTTTACCATCGACAAAAGAACGAAACTTTCCCTTATCGTAGGTGTACGGCAATTTGAGAAATTTCCCTACGGCCGTTTAGATGTCAGTGGTAGTATTTGTGATCATCAATAAATAAAATCATCATATCTAATACTAAATTGTAGTATAAAAATCTTTTTGAATATCTAAGACACTAAAATATTCCGAAGAATGAAAATATGGCCTTTTCGGTAGACCTGGACTGCCAAATCGGTAGATCTACCGAAAAATCGGTAGAAGTGTCATCACTGGAGACTGGGCTAAAATGTTATTGCCACAAGACCAAGACTGGACCCTGCAAGACCGAAACCAAGACTACTTATTAATTGTAAGGCCAAGTCTTGATCTAGGTCTTAGGCATTTGCTCATCTTGCATCTTGCTTACTGAGGTGTTCACTGAGGAGGCAGTGTCCTGTTAACAACCCCGTGACGCAATGAAAAAGCAAATAATCTAGCTAGGAAAGGAGCGAACACTCCACTAACTGGACCAGAACCGTTCTGCTTTCCAAGTGGTAACCAACTCAAGGCGGAACTAAAGAACTTGGAAGATTCCATCCGCAACCTGGAATGGAAATCTTGCAATGGTCTAAGACACTCGAAGAAGTTTCTGAGGGCTTATGATCAAGAAAAATCACAGCTCTTCCTGGGTCTGAGTAAGAACAATCTTCGGATTGTCACGGGGTTTTTAACAGGACACTGTCTCCTCAATGAACACCTCAGTAGATTGAAACTAAGAAGAAACGGCGAATGCAGATTCTGTGGGGAAGATGGTGAAACACCAGTACACCTCATCACTGAGTGCGCCGAGACGACAACCATTCGTGCCATGAACTTTGGTACGACTGATATTGGAGATGGAGAACTACCCTCTATAAAACCGTCCCAGATACTGGCTTTTGTCAAAGCCCTGGGACTGTATGATGAGTTATGATTCAAGAAAGGGGGACACAATGGATCTGTAAGGTCGAAGTGATTAACCCCCCTCCCACTCATTCTAAATTCTAAAAAAAATTCTATTGCAACAAGACCAAGACTGGACCCTGCAAGACCGAAACCAAGACTACTTATTAATTGTAAAGCCAAGATTAAAGAAGTCTTGATCTAGGTCTTAGGCATTTGCTCATCTTGCATCTTGCTTACTGAGGTGTTCACTGAGGAGGCAGTGTCCTGTTAACAACCCCGTGACAATCCGAAGATTGTCTTTAGTTAAATGAAGGAAAATCTTTGATTTTTCTCGGTCATAAGTTCTGAGAAATTTCTTCGAACGTCTTAGACCGGGGGGTTGGAGGATTCCCATTCCAACTTACGGATGGAGCCATCCAGGCTCTTCAGTTCTCTTTAAGTTGGTTTCCACTTGTGAAGCAGAACGGTTCTGGTCCAGTTAGTGGAGTGTTCGCTCTTTTTCTAGCTAGTATAAATTTAATTTACTAAAGTTAACGGCATGATTGTTCAGAGGTATTAATATTTTTTTATTATTTACTCATTACTCACATAAAAATATATGCTTTAATATTGTTGAAGGTAAAATCATTTAACATAATTGACGCGATGTTAAACAAATTTTAATAATATAATTCGTTAGATATCTATTATTTGTTTTTAAATGAAATTAGCAATATTTAAGAACCCACTATACAGGGTTTGGCAATAGTGTGTCTGTCATCTGTAGCTCCTATATACCGTAAATTTACAATGACTAAAGAATACAAGGACATATAGTAGAGATGGGCAAAAGTAACCGGTTTTTTGAATAACCGGTATTTTCCTCTAAAATAACCGGTTATTTAAAGGTAGTTTTTTTTCACCAGTTAACCTAATAACCTTGCATTACGTTCAATAACCTATAGCCGGTTATTTTTTAAAAAATCGTACTTGTTTAAAATAAGTAACAATTAAATATTAGCTGTTTCAATCGTAAATTTCGAAGAAGCGAACGGCACGGATCTTCCAGATATTACGACGATAACGGGAGATCCCGCTCCCGCAACCAAAACGAAAATATATGACATCAAACATAAAATGTCAAAATTAAATCAGGCATCAGGCGAACCCTGATGATAATAATCAAAACAACGGCCGAATGGCCCTGACAGGTCAGGCCGTAAAACAAAGTACTAATGGCATAGACTACTACTAGCCACCAGCTAGCCAAGTGATACGAACCTAACTTCAAATAGATTCTCTAAATTCTATATTTAAATTTTAACCCACTTTAACGGATTTTCAACGGTTCTTCAAAAGTTTTCCATGGTTTCGCCTAGTTTCACCCACGTTTCACCGTAAATATATTTTATTTGTAGTTTGAAGTCTCTCTTGAAGCTTAGACTAAAGAATACAAAATTGAAGTTCAAGTAATGAATGAAGATAATCTTTCATTATCTATTCATTCAGTCTCCTTATTTTTTTTTTGGTATTTGATTAAAATAACTTGGTTGTAGATTGTAGAACTTGTGAGTTGTGTGGTTTATTTGAACGTTAAGTAATTACTAGTTTTAATATCATATACATGTCTACTCAAAAAAGTGAGGTTAGCATTTTTATTTAAATTCATTTTGTACATATACATATTTACATTGCTACACTCTCTATTTAACTATAACTAAGTTTATTATCTAAATTTGAAGTAGACCTATGGAGTGTAGAGGTAAGTAAACCTATAGGAAAACTAAATATTTAGTTTTGCTAGGTTACGTTATTTGAATAACCGGTTAATTTGTGTCGGTTAATTTTGTCAAGTTATTATTTTTTAAAGATAATTCCGGTTAACCTATAACCGGTTTTTTACCAATAACCGCCCATCTCTAACATATAGCACCCGAGACCAAATTGTTACCATGGCACCAAACAGTGCCGTGGCCATATATTTTTCCTAACTTAGCTGCTTGAAGGGATATTTATATTTTTGATAAATGTTTTGACTACGCCTATGGTGTAGGCGGTGGCACCATACTAATTAATTACGAAAAAAAAACGTATTAAAATGTTAACAAAAGGTACAAAACTAGTATCGACCTATAGCACATATCAAGTACAGAGTGGGTCAAATTCGACGCTTTTAAATGGAAACACCCTTTTCTATAGGAGATAGACGAAAACTGATATCGGTGTCTGGAGCTCAATTTTCATCAAAAACATGATGGTGAAAACCGCACATCAATATCTGTTACCGTTTCGGAGTTACGGGGTGTTTTTCAAAAATGTGCATTTTT